TGTGTGTGTGTATGTGTATGTTAGACCAGTTTAAGTGTTTATGTAGTATGTTAGACTAGTTTAAGTGTTTATGTAGTTAATAAAGTCTTACTTGTATCACACTTGACATTGTTCATTGTTTGCTCATAACTGGAGTCCCTAATTATGCAGATTTATGCTACAAGCTCTGAGTTGTACAGTAAGAAAGTTATTTCCCTTATCCAGGAAATTAACGTTCTTAGAATTGACAGACAGTTGACCCTGAGAGGTCAAGTAAATATCTACAGCGGATCTAAATATTTATAATTAATCATAACTAGTTATGATTAATTATTCATATTTCCCCATGAGCTGATTCGCTACACAGATTTACTACTTCTCGAGAAAACAACAGATCAGTTCTGTAAAAGAGTCAGAGAGCTAGATGCTTCCGGTATATTTGTGCCCACTGTAAACAGGAAGTTGTGCTTAATGTGCCTCAGACACAAATAACACAAGTGGCGCAAGAAACAAGATCAAAAATGAGTGAAAACGGTACGTAATTTATTATTTCAAATGACTTTTTTAGTAGTTATGTAATGAGTGTGAATGTTAAACTTTTTTTCTCCCCACAGAGTCATTACTACAAAATGATTACACCGGAGTGTCATTCCATTCAAATTTCTTATTCCGTAAGTAGATTATTAAATATGTCACAGTCATGTTGCCATTGTACAATACAATATTTACAACAATATATGCACTCTGTACAGCACTTTATATGTTTTATTAGGATGTTCTACAATCAAACACATAGTATGCACATGCAGTGTTTCAAAGAACAGAAAAAAACTAAAAGAGTCAGAGAGCTAGATGCTTCTATTGGTATTTGCACCTACTGTAAAACAGGGAGTTATGCTTAATGTGTCTCGGACACAAATAACACAAGTGGCTGCTGCAGCTCGGCAGAGGCCACAGATCAGGAAACCAAGTAATGATGCCTGTTACTACTGTGGCAAAACGGGACTTTTATTGTGGCCCAATTACTAATCAAATTGTCCATTCTATGTCAAATTTCTGGGACTGATATTGAATGCCCTGTCACTCCACCTTTAGAAGTTATGGTTCCAGGACGAAATCCCTGAATCTCCCTTGACGCGACATTATGCACAAACTAGAGATGGAAATTATTTTTAATGAACGTAGTGTTTGCCTCTCCCTCTTCTCAGACATACAATTGTCTGTAGAGCCACTTCCTAATCTTAAAGAAAGTGTAGAGCTGGGAGTTACATCCAGTGCAACAAAGTCAAATTAGTGTTCAAACCCTGATCTATCCAAAGTTGATCCATCTTTGTGGTAAACATTTAAAGATGATACTGGTTTAGTGGATGTGGAACCATATAAAGCAAAATTGAAGACCAATTCAGCAGTTTATGTCAAGCAGTATCCACTTTCACCAGAAAAGGAAGCTGGTATTCAGCCAGTCATTGACAATTTTTTTAAATGTTTTCGTCCTCATATCAACTCCATCGCCTTATAACATAGCAATTAATCTTGTGAGGAAAGCCGACGGCACTAGTTGGAGGCTTACTCAAGATTTGCACGAGATCATTTCGTTAATTGTACCTCTAGCACCTGTGGTGCCTGATGTACCAACTATTATGCATTCAGTTCCATGCATCACAAATTTTCCACGGTAATCGGCCTGTGTGCTGCATTCTTCTCCATTCCTGTAAAAATTTTTCGCATTTTGTTTTAAAGGCCTTGCAAGATCGGGATTTAAGGCCTCCAAGGAGAAATTACAGTGGCTCCAGAAGAAGGTCCACTACTTGGGTCACGTGATCTCTCAGGGACAGAAATACATCTCTGCTGACAGAATTCAGCTTGTTAGAAATCTGAAACTGTACACAACAAGCAGCTGAGACTGCTCATTGATCACAAAGCCCCTCTCTCTCTACTGTTCTGAACTGGACTGATGAGGCTATGATGCATTTCAACAGACTGAAACAAGCCATCACAACGGCCCCTGTACTGGGCCTACCGCAGTATAATAAGCCGTTCCATTTGCACGTGAGAGAGACGGCCAGGGTTGCTATGGGGGTCCTGGTGCAAGAGCATTGTGCAAATTATAGGTCAGTTGCCTTTTTGTCTTAGCAACTAGATACAATTGTTCAGGGCATGCCATAATGTTTAAGAGCTGTGGCAGTGGCAGCGGTAATTGTACAGATGGCTAAAATAATGGTTTTATCACATCCTTTAATCCTGTACACCTTGTATCAGGTGGGTGCCATTTTGCACAATTTGAATTCTCAACATATGACCATGCAAAGACGCTCAGGGTATGAGGCAATCCTGTTAACAACAACCAATTTAACTATTAAGCCCACTTAGGTGAAAAATCTAGCTGTTCTTGCACTGCATTGCATGACTGTATTTCTCCAAAATACTAGACTATCTATTGGATGCACCTCTGGTTGGGGGGGGGGGCATATGTAATTCGCTGGAGTGTTGAGGCACAAATTAGTACCGATTCTTAGAACATCAATATGTTGCATAGGTATCAGCATATAATATACATGCTTGTTTCGATCATAAGAAGGCGAATTCATAGATACTAGACATGGTAGAGTTACTTATATGAATGAGTGGTTTATCGTAAGCATGAATAAAAATAGTCTATAATACAACAGATTAAATACAACACAGCAATAATATACACAATGGCCTGAAGAAAATGTGTGTTCATTCAAAGAAAGGTTTTCCTATGAATTAATTAGTAGAAAAGTCAATTTCTACGGTGCGTTTGTCCTGGGGACACAGAATGGGTTATCCTACTCACATTCCTGGAGGCGTAATAAAACCAGTGATATCATGATTAGTTGTCATGGTGACCAGAGGCCTGTTCTGCCTTTCTGAGGTGTTAGGTGCACTTCGGGGGAAGGGTCCATAGACCCTCGTAATTGGCCATTTGGTTAAGTGAGGGGGAGTTAGATATTATTTGTTAAATATAACAAAAAGTTGTGTGTCTGATTGGTCCAAATGCTACATTAATTAATTCAATAGTTCTATGGTTTGAAGCAGGGGTTTCCAAACTCGGTCCTGGAGGGTCGGTGTCCTGCAGAGTTCAGCTCCAACAAGGGTTGGGCAATGTCTACCAAATTGGCATCGGACGATGTCTACAGTGAAACATCGTGATGGACAATGACATAGGGGGGGGGGGGGGGGGGGGGGGTTAGTGATGCATGTTGATAGGTCGTGTTAAAAACCATCAGACGGTGTATATTTGTGTGCTTCAAAACGGATTTGAGAAGGTGCATAAGTTTTGTATTATTACTATGAATTAGGCTACTACTATTACTATCTTGTACCCTGCAGTAAACATTTACTCAGACTCTCTTTTATGAGATCAAGGGGAAAAAAGAAAAAGAAAATCGGCCAAGCATATCGGCCAAAAAATTGGCATCATATATCGCCCATCGGCTACCCTGAATTCTAAATATCGGCATCGCCCAGTGAAAAACCCATATCGGTCGACCTCTAACCTAGACATCTGCTTGCAGACATCCAACTGTGCAAATCCCCTGCTCATACCATAACCCCACCGCCACCATGGGCCACTCGATCCACAACGTTGACATCAGCAAACCTCTCACCCACACAACGCCATACTCGCTGTCTGCCATCTGCCCTGTACAGTGAAAAACGGGATTCGTCCGTGAAGAGAACACCTCTCCAAAGTACCAGACGCAATCGAATGTGAGCATTTGCCCACTCAAGTCAGTTATGATGACGAACTGCAGTCAGGTCGAGACCCCGATGAGGACGACGAGCATGCAGATGAGCTTCCCTGAGACGGTTTCTGACAGTTTGTGCAGAAATTCTTTGGTTATGCAGCAGCTGTCCGGGTGGCTGGTCTCAGACGATCTTGGAGGTGAAGATGCTGGATGTGGAGGTCCTGGGCTGGTGTGGTTACACCTGGTCTGCGGTTGTGAGGCCGGTTGGATGTACTGCCAAATTCTCTGAAACGCCTTTGGAGATGGCTTATGGTAGAGAAATGAACATTCAATTCACGGGCAACAGCTCTGGTGGACATTCCTGCAGTCAGCATGCCAATTGCATGCGCCCTCAAAACTTGCAACATCTGTAGCATTGTGCTGTGTGATAAAACTGCACATTTTAGAGTGGCCTTTTATTGTGGCCAGCCTAAGGCACACCTGTGCAATAATCATGCTGTCTAATCAGCATCTTGATATGCCACACCTGTGAGGTGGATGGATTATCTTGGCAAAGGAGAAGTGCTCACTAACACAGATTTAGACAGATTTGTGAACAATATTTGAGAGAATTAGGCCTTTTGTGTACATTGAACAAAATTATAAACGCAACACTTTTGCTGAACTCAAAAGATCTAAGACTTTTTCTGTGTATTTAACACCCAGTCCTGAACCTGGAGAATCAGTTCCAACACTCTTGCCTGGACATTTCTAGTGATCCTGAAACTCTTGCTTAGCTGGTTCAGGTGTGTTTAATTAGGGTAGCTGAACTTTGCAGGATATTGGCTTTCTCAAGTCAACATAAAGAGAAACATCAACCAATTTAGCATGTAATAAAACTAATAAAACTTTAAGGCCGTACTCTCAAACCACAGGGACTTTAATTGTCCCAAACTCGGCTAGTTTTTGTCAGTAAGGTTACGTTTACTGATTCTAGCTTATCTCATTCTTTTCATGTGAACAGAGTAGGCTACACACTTACATTCATGCATTTAAATTTTATTTCTAAGTAATGTTCACAATTAGGCCTATTTATTCGTGTCACACACACCTAGTGCCTTGATATAAATAAAAGAATGTTGGGAAATGTTACAGACATATTATCGTGGTACTGTTCAACCTATTATTACTTTTTTACTTCCACCTCACTTTTATCCAAAGAAACGGGATAAACTATTTGCATTGCATTTACCAATGAGACACACAATATTCATACAATGCTATGCTATAGACTGAAATAATCTGTCAGCATATAGTACAGTGCTATGTGTGCAAATGAAATATCGAAACTATACACCGATTTGTAAACCACAAACGAAACATGAGAAATCAAACAAAAATCTACTTTTTCATTTGTTAAACTAAAATGAATAAACAAGCAATCTTTCTTTTCTCATTATTTCATTCCAAATAGGAAATGAAATGATCAAAACCTAGAGCGTTCATACTTTTCTCTTGTATTAAAAATAATTTTTTGTTTATTGCACATTATATCATTTCTAAGTGTGTATTTGGACATTGTTTTATTTTATTTTTCATTATTTGAACATTTGAACATGGGCTGAATTTTTTGTAGTGATTGTATTTATTTGTAAGGTTTAGTTACATAGTTCATTTATTAAAAATATGGCATTTGCTGTAGGGCTTAATTTGAGTGTTTTTTTGTATTAGTTTTGGATGAAGGTCTTGTTATATATATATATATATATATATATATATATATATATATATATATATACACTTTTTTAAGTTTGGAGGATTTGATGATTTTAAACATTTGCCTTTTTATAACTGTGTGTGTGTATATATATATATAAATGTTTAAAATCATCAAATCCTCCAAACTTAAAAAAGTGTATTTACTGAAAATATTTGAATGTCTGCTGCCTATTTACAAGGTCTGCTTTATGGTAATTTAAAAGTAAGCATTTAAATCTTGTGTGTGCTAAATCCCATTTTGTATTTGATTGTATCTACTTGTGCTTGCTCTTAAAGTGGTTTGTATTTGTGTTTAATGAGTTTTTCACCTGATTGATTGACTGAATGAACACGGCATCGAACTTTCACAATAAAAAAGGGAAAAGGAGAGCAAAAGTGTGGTCAATGAGTGAAATACAGTTGAATTCTTCTTGTAGTCGGCTGTCTTTTCAAGTGGGAGAGTTCTGCACACTGAGAACCTTGCAAAACAGTGAGGATTCACTTGGCTGTGAAAAACCGGGCTGTGAAGACTGGAGAAGAGAAACCAGAACAGCAACCAGCCAGGCCTGGAAAGCCAGAAACCTGGAAAGACACTGAATAAAGAAGTGTAAACCATCACGTTACCTGTATCCTGTTGGAGTAGAGGACTGGAGCAGCTTAAAGCCAACAGAACAACAGCAAAACGCCAATTCTCCCAGCTTGCCAACAATGTTGTTAGGATGTGCACAATACTGTCTGAAGAGGAGCTCAGAGACAGTTAGGGTTAGGGTCATCATCATTAAGCTAATGATGATGGAAAAATGGAAGTTAATGATGATATGGAGGCCCAGTTCATTAAAGAAGGGAAGCTGGATGCAGATGTTCCTGTGTTGAACGAGCAGCAAAAGGCTGATATAGAAAAAAACTGCAAGTGAGTGAGATGAATCTAAAGGAGCTGAAAGACCTCATCCAGAAGACACTTTGGACCAACTTTGGAGAAGAGAAGCTAATTATGGTGGTAAACGGTGCAGAGGATAAAGCAGAGTGTTATGTCATCCATCGAATCCAGTGGCAATAAAGAGGCCTTTGACTTCTTGGAATCATTTGTGACCCATTTAACGTTATATGCATAAAGCATTGCAGAAATTCAGTGATTTTGCAACAACTGCAAAAGCAGAGGAATTTGTCAAAAGAAATATGTTTCTGAACAAAATGTATTGTTACATATAGAAATAACATTCACTTGTGCACACATATAGGACATGACACTGAAGTGATCAGAAGTTTAGATTATAGCTAATTATGGTGGTAAACGGTGCAGAGGATAAAGCAGAGTGTTATGTCATCCATCGAATCCAGTGGCAATAAAGAGGCCTTTGACTTCTTGGAATCATTTGTGACCCATTTAACGTTATATGCATAAAGCATTGCAGAAATTCAGTGATTTTGCAACAACTGCAAAAGCAGAGGAATTTGTCAAAAGAAATATGTTTTCTGAACAAAATGTATTGTTACATATAGAAATAACATTCACTTGTGCACACATATAGGACATGACACTGAAGTGATCAGAAGTTTAGATTATGTAAGGCATGTCAAAACTGTACATAGAAAAAAAAATATAGCAGGTGTCTCAGAAAACCTAACAGTGATACACTAACAGGAATTTACAGTGGCCTCAAAATATTTAATAAAATGTTGTATTTAATATAAAATGCTTCATTGCAGATTAGATTTCAGTGTGGAAATCTCAGACTTTTGGGCACCACTCTATGTTTATAACAGAAAGTGAGATTTCTACACATGTTCAGTCATTCATAATCATCAAACACACTCATTGGCTGATAGTCAGGAGTTCAGGATTCGCTTCTATCCACTCTTCATTTGGTCCTTCATTATAAAACAATAAAATGATTCTCAACAGAATTGGCAGAGAAATAAGACTGAGAGCTGCTTAACAAATCAGTCAGAAATCAAACTAGAACCAAAACACCTTGAACCAAATCTGCTCAATGTTGAACATGCTGGATTAGATACAATGGCTCTGTTCAGAATAGCATACGAACATAATATTACTATTTCTGTCATATATAGCGTGCGCAGTTTGTTAAGATGCTGAAGCACTGTATCCCACAATGCAGTGTGACTTGGCTTTCCATTTCGAATGAATTGAAACTACAGGCATGAGCTTTTACCTATTGTTTCATCAAACTGCCAAACCCTAAAAAAAACATATTTACACAAAATTGAATTAATATAAAATAAACGTAATTTTTCACATGATAACTGGATGCTGCTCATTAAATTAAACATGCAAAGTAATTGTTCTGTGACAACAGTATAGCATACCACTGTATGCATAACAGCATAAGGGGCCGTGCACATGTTGCGCCTAAAAACGCGTGGAAAACGGCGGAAAGCGGCGCGCCTAGCGTTTTAGGCGCGACATGTGAATGGCCCCTAACACTTCCACTTCTGTTTTACTAAATTCTAAAACAGTACGCAGTATACGGTGTGTAATGCACGGTATACAGTGAGCAGTAATATTACAGTAAGTTAGTAGCTACTCCATTCTGAACAGCCAATGACTGTAATACATGACAGTTGTACAATGTTACATTCCATTTGCCCCGTAGCAGATGTAATCTAATAAGCTGTTAGTAATTCATATACATAATTCAGAATACATATAAATCTGTGTGTACACACACTGTACATACATCATATGGAGCCTACTTCATTGATGACTTTAACCTCATTATAAGATCTGCTCTGTTTGATTAAGTCTTAAACAGAGCTGATGGATGGATGAATGGGTGGATGGACGATCGGAGGTCTATAGGTTACTGAAGAGTTCATTTTTCTTGCTCCAGTCCATGGGTGGAGCTCTCTTATTGGAGCGTTTCTGGTGAGCGCGCTCTTTCACCTGCTGCAGGGACAGATTGAGCTCTGGGATGGCATTTATGATGGACGGCTCCAAAGCCTGAGAGGAGAACAAACAAATAGAAACTCATGAATAACCTAAAATGGACCCTTTCAGAGTCTATTACAAGCATGTCCTCAAATGACAGTGGAGTACTCGATCAAAACACTTATGAAGCCAGAAATTATTTAACTTATTCATAAAGGTTGAAGGTTGACGTTCATTCGGGTACTTTCAGAAAATGTTATGCTATGTTTGAAATCGAATACCAGCTGCTTACTACACATTATGTGCTTGCTATTTTTTAAAAGTTTGTGAAAGTATGCAATGATTAATGCCAAACAGTAGTATGCTAGATTGGTGTCACACAATCTCATTATGTTTACTCCTGCAAAAAATGTTTATTCAAATGTGTACAAGTGTACTTGCAGTATAAAAACTATTAAACTAGTAGCTCACTGAGAGCATGCTTCAATACTCTCATAAACTAAAAAGTGGGCTCGAAGCACATAGCTAGTAAATTAACAATAATACCTAGTAGTACAGTACAAAATATAGTTCCACTACAAACGAAAAACTTGTGCATTCAAAGTTTACTTTGAAATACATGGCAAAGTATACTTTTATAAACTAAAAAGTAGGTCAATTTAGTCCCCAGAAATATTGAAATAGTACACTTACAAGCATACTACCAGTCCATTGATATTAGTATATTTACTACATAAAGTAAATTTGGAAAATCTTTGAACTTAAATTTACTTGAAGTATGCTTCTTTATTGTAAGTGCTGTATAAAACATTATGCACGTTTGATTTTGTGAGTGGCACATCTTTAAAATAATGTTTTTGTATTTGTTACATTTATTTTGGTGTAAAAATGTCTTAACCCTTGGCATTTGGGCCAAATATGTCAACAACAAGTCATTAAAATTCACGGCTGAAATTACTTCTACATCATTTCCCATCCGGGAAATGAACCCTTGAAAAAAAACATGAACTTTACCTGAAAAAGTTCAAGTTGAGCGCATTGCATTATGGGATTGAGTACCCAGTATGCAGTGTGCTCTGTAGTATACTGCATATTTTGGCACCTGTAGTAATAGGTCACCTGGGTATTCTGTTTATGTAGAAAATTAGCATATTCTAAACATCATAGGTCAGTCTCACCTCAGAAGGTGGAGTCGTGAGGGAGGTGTTGGAGGATGCGTTGGATGGAGACGGACTGATTGATAACTTCGAATCCTTCAGCTCCACCTCTTTGGACACATTTCCGTTAACCTGAACAGCAGACAGACATTTCAGTAACATGTCAGATCTCCTGAGGCTCGGTGCTTCGCTGTGTGCACTAGGGGTCAGACTTTAGCTGGTAAAGTGCTGAGTGTCAGCTGCAGTGTGTGGGCCTCAGGCTGCTGGAGACAGAGCTTCATTAACTGTACGAGTGGGCAGCATTAGCCGGGCATCAATACTGCTCCTCTGACAGGTGACAGTGCCCCCTTATTCCCTCCTGCCAGCTACGTCTGACACACCAACCATTAGCCAGAGGCTCTTACTTTCCCCCACAATCCTCTTTAGAGAAACTGTCCCCAAAGTCTCTAAACTTACGAACTCAAGCAATGAGTGGGTGACCGAAGAAGACGCCAGATACCTGATCCGTCCATGTCAACCAAAAATTATGGTGAATTCAGGTAGTAGCCGTAAATAAGTCTTACTGGCCATGGAATTGTATTTTGCCTCTTATATTTATATATAATAAAATACATATTTTTGTCTGTATGCCAGAGTGTCTTGCATATTAGTGTCACACGGCGCAGGTCATTGTGTCTCTGGTGGCAACACATACAAGCCAGTCTCTGTCTCACAGTGAAACTGCACCTGCCACAAAAATGTACGGATATATCATGATTGTGTTCCTTATGTTTCATTGTGGTGGCATAAAGTGAGAAATATTACACATAATGTGTCCTGGTGGAAAAGAAACAACTTTAAGCAGGGTAGGATTTGATTTTTATGTAAAAATGGTAACACTTTAGTTTGGGGACCAAGTCTCACTATAAACTAGTTGCTTATTAGCATACATATTACTAGAATATTGGCTGTTTATTAGTACTTATAAAGCACAAATTAATTTCTTATTCTGCATGGCCATATTCTATTAATCCTATTAATCCCCCACACCTAAACTTAACAAATACCTTACTAACTATTAATAAGCAGCAAATTACACTCTTAAAAATAAAGGTGCTTCACAATGCCATAGAAGAATCTTTTTGTCTAAATGGTTCCATAAAGAACCTATAAAATCTAAAGAACCTTTCTGTTTCACAAAAGGTTCTTTGGGGCGAAAGAAGGTTCTTCAGATTATAAAAAGGTAAGAAAGAGATGGTTCTTTAAAGAACCCTTGACTGAATGGTTCTTGTGGAACCAAAAATGGATCTTCTATGGCATCGCTTGAAGAACCTTTTGAAGCACCTTTATTTTTAAGAGTGTAGGTGTTTATTGAGGCAAAAGTCACACTTAATAGTTAGTTAATAGTGAGAATTGGTCCCCAAACTGAAGTGTGACCGTAAAAAATAAAATAAACCGTACAAATGCTGACAATAATTTATTGACTATAAATGTATTTATACAATTCAAAATGTAATCACTCTACATACGCAGCAACTTTATGCATCATACAAAAGACTCTAAATCAGTCTCAATTTTCTCACTCAGCAAGAGAGGCTCGTGACTCACTGGATCACAAGTTATTACTTTTGTCATTTGCAACTTGAAATAAAACTATTTAAGTTAATGGTCACCAAAACTGTTTGGTTACCAACATATCTTCTTTTGTGTTCAGCAAAAGAAACAATGTAGTTCAGGAATGAGATGATGATCACACTTTATTTTAAGGTCCAATTCTCACTATTAACAAACCATTAACTATGACCTTTGCCTCAATAAACTCCCAAATTTCTGCTTATTAATAGTAAGGTAGTTGTTAAGTTTAGGTATTGGGTAGGATTAGGGATGTAGAATATGGTCATGCAAAATATGTACTTTATAAATACTAATAAACAGCCAATATGTTAATAACAGGCATGCTAATAAGCAACTAGTTAATAGTGAGAATTGGTCCCTATACTAAAATGTTACTAATATTATTCTTTGGTGAACTATCCCTGTGTAATATGTGTATTTACTAACTGGTTGTTCAGGCAACCAGCATGAACATACAGTTAGGAAACAGTCACAAGGGTTTTCTTGTATTGGTACTTTGATTTAAAAACGTTTAAATTTGAACTCAAATATGTATAAGAATTTTTAATTGAGTATTTTTAGTTCTGTGTATAGAGTTGTGGTTTCATGTCTATAGCTGAATCCCAGCCATACTGATCTCAACTTACCTTGAACTTTACTCTTGCTACCTCGCTAAAATGAGTATTTCACATGTGGAAATGCTAATCTAGTGGCATTTGTGAGACAGCTGCACCAGTAGTATGCTAAAAGACACCATTGTTCAATAAATAATTGCATTCAATGATATTAATCACAATAAAACCATTCTTCCAGTTAATTATGCTGTTTTCACAGTGTCAGAATAACCACAATTATAAGAAGACAAAACAGAAACTGTGAGGTTTTCATGTCCTTTGACTCATTTCAGTGGCAATTATAGGTGGCTTTGTTGGTAATGACAGCAAAACACCTCATCACTTCCTCTATACTGTTTAGCAGTTTCATACTTTATCATATTTGAGCTTGATTTTCTTTATATTTCACACTTGTTACTTGAAATGCATTAAAGGGACAGTTCTCCCAAAAATTTCATAATTTACTCATCATCCTTTACTATAGGCGGAGGGTGAACCAACTCCAGGGTAAGGCTAAAAGCAACCAAATGTATTAACATCATAAACCCATCTTATTAGGCAAGGTCATGTAGGCTCAAAACAAATGTTTAATGGGACTGAATTTGTATTTAACGTGATTACAATTTAATAAAAACGTTAGAAATTGATAATTATATAACGTTTCCTTTCCACGGTTATTCAAACAGCGAATAAATTATATATTGAAAGTGACATTATCACTAACATTTATCTAGTAGCTGAATCCCAGCCATACTGATATATCCAGAACTTCAGCACTCTTTACAATTCTCATCTACGGAAGCGTGTTTCCGCCACTGAATAAAAAATGAAACAAGGTAATTCTGACTTTTTAATCTCACAATTCTGACTTTTTTTCTTAATTGCGTGTTGACATCTCGTAAATCTGACTTTTTTGTCACAAATGTGACTTTATATCTCGCAATTATGAGAAAAAAAATCAGAATTGCAAGACGTAAACTCAAAATTATGAGAAAAAAGTCAGACTTGTGAGATAAAAAGTCACAATTATGATTTTTTTATATTCAGTGGCAGAAGCAGGCGTCCATACTCATCCCTAATGATTATGGTCAATAAAACACTTTCTTGCTCTTCACATGCACTGCATGAAGTCAAGAAATATGTAGTGTATGCCACTAACTGACACATTTCAGACCAAAGTAATACAAATGACTCTCAATTAATGACAGAGGCCTTTTTGAATAAGCCGGACTGAAAACATTAAAACCTGATAGTGATTAATCCAGTCAAATTCTGAATAGAGACTGATCTTCAACCTCTAATGGGCTTCTTTTATGACCACTTATCATTGGCATAATCAGAAATAATTGCATATAATACAGCCACAGACTTCCCTTCATATGTGTCTAGAGAGCTGACTTCACTAAACACAACAATATGCAAACATTTCAATAAGAGGCATCAAAACATGCAAAGGTTTCCAATGACCTCTGAGAAACTTGTTGTAGTGTTTTTTTCTGCTGTGAGAACCTAGGTTCAGACACCGGTCAACACAAACAACTCAAGCTGCTGTATTTATTTAGAAAAGAGCACATGGGATAACAAATGAAACCCAAGCTGGAAAGTGCACATGGCTGAAAACTGGGGAAAAATTCGATCTCAGTATCCTTGTACTCTACTTGCTCTGAAATGGCTTGAAAGTGTGATTTTCATTCGAAGCCAGTTTGATTCAAAATATCTAATTCCAGAACTTTTTTGATTAAATGGAAACTAATGATATTTAATAACTACAAACGAACCAGGTTTTGAATATGATGCTCAATGTTATTAAAGCAACAATCCTCAAGAGGCCATGCATAACAGTGACAATGATGCTGCCATTGTAATATTTGCTGAATCGTCTGCATTTATCTATCAATAGCCACCTTAAAACTGCAAAAAGGTTTCATTTAATTTTATTCCAACGGCTAGAACCTCAACTTACCTTGAACTTTACTCTTGCTACCTCGCTAAAATGAGTATTTCACATGTGGAAATGCTAATCTAGTGGCATTTGTGAGACAGCTGCACCAGTAGTATGCTAAAAGACACCATTGTTCAATAAATAATTGCATTCAATGATATTAATCACAATAAAACCATTCTTCCAGTTAATTATGCTGTTTTCACAGTGTCAGAATAACCACAATTATAAGAAGACAAAACAGAAACTGTGAGGTTTTCATGTCCTTTGACTCATTTCAGTGGCAATTATAGGTGGCTTTGTAATAATAGGCAATGTTCTATGCTAAATTGTTGTCATATGACCTGGCATCCAGTTGACATCCATAATTCAATTTTGTAGAAGCATATTTAGGCTTTCCGTTCAAATAGATGTTAAAATAAATGGTTGACATTAATTCTGTTTCATTTGTCTCACTGGAAACGGAAGATCATTAGCAAATTTTGCCAAATGTACTATAGGAGTAGTATCTTATTATTCTATATTTAACATGGTCAATTTAACTGAAGTGATTTGGAATAATCTGACTGAAACAGTTTAATTGGCTGAAAGAGCTTTTCAGTTTAGTGTGATCCGCAAGCCCATAAGGAGAAACTCCTCAGAGATCTTTAGAGATTTATGAAGAACTAGAATGCCTGTTATTGAAGTTCTGCACATCCCTTGCCGCGTGAGTGTTTGTTTGCTCAGTATTTATGAATTGTGCCTTCCGCTACCAATAATAGTACATAATTTACTGTTTCATTTTACACATTCAAAATGAATTGGGTGGGTTAGGTATATCAGGGGGTATTAGGGATCAGGGGTTGGAGACGGGTAGGTTTAGGTATATGTAAGGTGGGAGGAGTTGGATCCCCCTAGATCTTGTGTTCTGCAGTGAGGACCATCTGGCAGTAGAGCTCATGAATGACTGTAAGGAATCCGGCACCGTTGAGTATTTAAACACTGTAGCACAGTGATATGACACTGATCCCAATTCCCAACAGCCTTTTCCTAAATTCACCTCTGAATAACTCGTTACTTTACTTAACTACAGTTTTTTATTTCTACTTTTCTCAGTAGAAAACATAGAGACATTTCGTTACATTTGCAACTGCAACGCACAAAAGAACAGCAAGGAAATCTTTGCGGATCTGTCCGCAAATGAATCTTTCGATTCAGCTTGGTTCCTTTGAATCTGTCAAACCAGTTCGCATATAGGTTTGAATGATTCATTTCGTGAATTTCATGAATCTGAATCTAAATCTCGCTAAGCACACCAAATTCACAGGAGGACCATCTGGCAGTAGAGCTCATGAATGACTGTAAGGAATCCGGCACCGTTGAGTATTTAAACACTGTAGCACAGTGATATGACACTGATCCCAATTCCCAACAGCCTTTTCCTAAATTCACCTCTGAATAACTCGTTACTTTACTTAACTACAGTTTTTTATTTCTACTTTTCTCAGTAGAAAACATAGAGACATTTCGTTACATTTGCAACTGCAACGCACAAAAGAACAACAAGGAAATATTTGCGGATCTGTCCGCAAATGAATCTTTCGATTCAGCTTGGTTCCTTTGAATCTGTCAAACCAGTTCGCATATAGGTTTGAATGATTCATTTCGTCAATTTCATGAATCTGAATCTAAATCTCGCTAAGCACACCAAATTCACAGGGGTTCATTTTTGGTCACCACCACTGTGTACGAGCGTCCTGACACATACTTTTGAGTTACATACACTTTCTTTTTATTTATTTATTTGTTTATTTATGAATCCCAGCTTCAGGGCTGCAGTGTGACGTCACATTCAGACGTCACTGAGACTGGCTATAAATGCAGGGCATTTCTTCATGAGTGCAGCGCTGGTGACATTTAGGTTCCTGGTTTTCTGGGATTATAGGGGACTGAATCCTTAAGGCCTCTATCACACAGAATGCGTTTTTTGCAGTGAGAGGCGCCTTTTTAAAATTGTTTTCGGTTGGCAGTGAGCGTTTTTGCAGGAGTGCTCTGAGCGCCTGAAGTTGAAAAAAAGCAACTCTGAGCAGAAAAGCACCCGACGTCATTCGCGTTTTTTTTTATTGTCCAATCGAATTAACGGAGAGGCGGGCCTTCTGTTGTGGTGACGAATAGTCTCGCATAGCCAGACCTTCAGACTGACGGCTGAAGGTCTGGAATCCATGGCAGCTTTCATTGGCCAAGGCCCGTCCATGAGGCCGTTTGACAACATGTCAAACAACCAATTACAGTTTGTTTCGTTTCAGCGTCACGTTTCGGGGCGTGGAAATGTCGCCACAATAACAGACCGGTGTGTAAAACTCTCGGATGTATTTTAAAGATTCTGTGCCGCGAACTTTAAATATTTCACATACTTTTGAAAATCCAGCATTTAGTTGATCCTGATAAGCGCTCGTCGCCACAGTTGTAAACCCGACGGCTTTCTTCTTTCGTGAGGAGGTTTGGCGCAACGGAATCTTTGTTTCCAGGCGGAACGTTAAAGAACGCGACACATCTCCCGGAAATCCTGTATAATTCAACCAATCCGATGACGACTTTGAAACTCCTGAAGTGTTTCCACTTTTGTGTGCCGTATGCATCAGACGTTCAGCCAACGGTCCGTGTGCGTGACGTCTGAGGCTGAGACTAGGTGACGAAAGTTTACCATTTCTTAGGAAGGCCGGAAACTGCATTGATGGAGGAGAAACTTTTGGTGTCTGTCGCAGGTTACCCGGAGCTGTATTTTTTAAGGTTTCTGGTAACATGACAGTTTACTTTACAGCAAAAACCAAAGATTGTAGAGCGCTCGCACTATAATCCTTTGATTAGACTGACAGGACAGTTGATTTGGCGGTTGCCTAGCAACATAAAAACGCAGCGCACTGCTCTTTTTTTTTAAAGTCACAAAAAAAAGGTGTGATCGGGGCCTTAGTTTAGATTAGATTTGGGGGGTTAGATTTTGGTCAGGGCCCCCAGGGCACCTCCTGAAGCTGGAAGTAGGCCACAGCCTGCAAGGTGGGTGGGAAGCAGGGGGCGCCTTAGATCGTAACCACAACCCAACCATTTTTATTACTATGTTTCCAAAGATACACTCACCTACACTCTTCACACTTCACATTATACGTCACATACAACACATCACCACAAAGTATCATAAATGTAAATATTATGGTACATAAATTCCAGTAGGCCTATCATGCTATATGTACCATTTTATTGCCATCAGATACCATCCTTTTAAAACAGTACTGAGCTCATATTAGTATTTCTTTGTTCTTGTGTAGTGATAACACTAGAGACATTATCATAAAATAAATGACATTACACTTATTCATGTAAACAATGCATTTTACTTTAATATAAGTTGCATGTATGATATTTAAAAAACATTTATGAATAATGTATTTCTCAATGAACACAGACACACATTAGCCATTGTCAGATGTTAATAAATGAAATTGTAGTAAATAGTCTCAGTTTAACATTTGTGTTTTTTAATCATATTTCCATTTTACAAAAATAACGGGTTATTTCAGGCTTTGTATTATAATCATCTCATGTTTAAAGACCTAATGAAGTGGTTTGCTACTTGTAATATGAAGCTCTACCTGTACATTGCATGGACGGAGTAAGAAATGTCAAACTTAAGTGTCTAAATGCATATGGTGCATGCAATGGTGTGTTATATATTTGTTATAAATAAATATAGGGTAGTTATTAAGAATAAAGCACTGACTTTAATTACCAGTGAACCACACCATGAGGAAGAGAATAAGGGCATTTTTTTACTACTTTCATTGATGATAAGTTAGTGTATTAGTTTGGAAAGTTCATGATATTCTAGGATTTGTCCATGGAAGCATATTGAATGATTGCTGTTTATTCAATGTGCCAGTAAAGCTGTAGTAAGGTTGCATAACATTACACAGTACAAACAATAAGACTGAATACTTTTACAGGGGTCCTATCAAGTCTCAGGTGTTTGAAACTCCTGAAGTGTTTCCACTTTTGTGTGCCGTATGCATCAGACGTTCAGCCAACGGTCCGTGTGCGTGACGTCTGAGGCTGAGACTAGGTGACGAAAGTTTACCATTTCTTAGGAAGGCCGGAAACTGCATTGATGGAGGAGAAACTTTTGGTGTCTGTCGCAGGTTACCCGGAGCTGTATTTTTTAAGGTTTCTGGTAACATGACAGTTTACTTTACAGCAAAAACCAAAGATTTTAGAGCGCTCACACTATAATCCTTTGATTAGACTGACAGGACAGTTGATTTGGCGGTTGCCTAGCAACATAAAAACGCAGCGCACTGCTCTTTTTTTTTAAAGTCACAAAAAAAGGTGTGATCGGGGCCTTAGTTTAGATTAGATTTGGGGGGTTAGATTTTGGTCAGGGCCCCCAGGGCACCTCCTGAAGCTCTAAGTAGGCCACAGCCTGCAAGGTGGGTGGGAAGCAGGGGGCGCCTTAGATCGTAACCACAACCCAACCATTTTTATTACTATGTTTCCAAAGATACACTCACCTACACTCTTCACACTTCACATTATACGTCACATACAACACATCACCACAAAGTATCATAAATGTAAATATTATGGTACATAAATTCCAGTAGGCCTATCATGCTATATGTACCATTTTATTGCCATCAGATACCATCCTTTTAAAACAGTACTGAGCTCATATTAGTATTTCTTTGTTCTTGTGTAGTGATAACACTAGAGACATTATCATAAAATAAATGACATTACACTTATTCATGTAAACAATGCATTTTACTTTAATATAAGTTGCATGTATGATATTTAAAAAACATTTATGAATAATGTATTTCTCAATGAACACAGACACACATTAGCCATTGTCAGATGTTAATAAATGAAATTGTAGTAAATAGTCTCAGTTTAACATTTGTGTTTTTTAATCATATTTCCATTTTACAAAAATAACGGGTTATTTCAGGCTTTGTATTATAATCATCTCATGTTTAAAGACCTAATGAAGTGGTTTGCTACTTGTAATATGAAGCTCTACCTGTACATTGCATGGACGGAGTAAGAAATGTCAAACTTAAGTGTCTAAATGCATATGGTGCATGCAATGGTGTGTTATATATTTGTTATAAATAAATATAGGGTAGTTATTAAGAATAAAGCACTGACTTTAATTACCAGTGAACCACACCATGAGGAAGAGAATAAGGGCATTTTTTTACTACTTTCATTGATGATAAGTTAGTGTATTAGTTTGGAAAGTTCATGATATTCTAGGATTTGTCCATGGAAGCATATTGAATGATTGCTGTTTATTCAATGTGCCAGTAAAGCTGTAGTAAGGTTGCATAACATTACACAGTACAAACAATAAGACTGAATACTTTTACAGGGGTCCTATCAAGTCTCAGGTGTCCCAGAATGTGTCTGGGAAGTTTTACCTCAAAATACACCACAGATTACATCATGCTGAAAATGCCCCTTAGTCCTATCAAGTCTCAGGTGTCCCAGAATGTGTCTGGGAAGTTTTACCTCAAAATACACCACAGATAATTTATTACATCATGCTGAAAATGCCCCTTTATGGGTGGAAATAAAATCGCACAGTTTTCATGTATGTCTCTTTAAATGCAAATGAGCTGCTGCTCCCTGCCCTCTTTCCAGAAGAGGATCACATCTTGTGCCTCTGTTTGTTTTTGAATATCATTTCTATTGTGCGTGACACTGCAGTTCTTCATCATCATAAAAAAAAATATTATGTGTCTTAAAAGCCTTGTCATTTTAAACTTCTGATATACGGTTTTCTGAGAGCACAGAAAGTTGGCTCTCTCGTGCCAACTGTCAAATGCACACAAGGTTATGTCCAAAAAAAAGAAGTTCACATAAACACAGTCGGTTGTAAATAGCTGCATGTGTATCAGTACATTAGATCTGTGAAATGGTGTCTCATGGTGACAACACACTACTAACCCAACTCAACCAGGCCTCACCCCCTCTTATTATTTTGTGTATGTCTTGGGCAGGAATTAAATTATTTAACATAGTGACATGCACATTCCCGAAAGTTGCTTACTGATATAGGCCTAGAGAATAACTCCCTTTGGAGTGGATTTTGTGCTTAGTAACTTTATAGATCTTTTTAATGCACAAACAGCAACATTATATACGAAAGGAAGTTCAAAATGTAAAAAAAAAAGCATAATAGGCCCCCTTTGAAATGTTGGCTTATGTACATTTCTTATATACATTTCTAGATATGCTAATTTATTTTTAAACATAAAAATTAATACTTCAATTTTTCAATAAAGTGATGAAGCATAAAGCTGCAGTCACACTAGGTTTGGAGCATGCAAAATTTATTCGGATTCTGCAACTGTCGTCGTAGGACGTTATGCTCTGCAGCGTCATTTTAAAATCTTAAAGGTGCCATAGAATGCATTGATACAATATTTTAAATTGTTCTGTGATATCTATATAGAAGGTATGTGGCTTAGATAAGGGCAAAAAATCTCCAGAAATGGTTTTACATGTCCATTTACAACCCTAGGATTTGTCCCTAGAATGAGATGGTCTGTTTTTACCTAATTTGGAAGGGTCATGAATAATAATGTTGAGCTCTGCTCTGATTGGCTATTTCACAGTGCAGCTAATTTCAGTAGCTCACACAGCAGGAAGGAAATATATATTTCAATACTGTCTCTCGCAGTTATATCATTGGGTAATTATACTGTATATAAAATGCGGACATCAGGGAGCCACTATTAATATGCGGGGCATTGAAACTGCTTTCGATCGCGTTTTACTTTAACTTTTGAGATTTGCGATCGCACATGCTCTGTGTTACAAGATCAGATGCTTGTCAGTGGTGCTCAGGATCTGTAAATCATTCGCCATCATCCTCAGTCATCTCTCCTTACTCTGTTTATGTGGTAAGTGAAATCTTATGTACTGTAATTTAACAGGCTACCGCTAGCAAGCATCTAACCATGTCCTTTTAGTGGCTCGCGTTATTTTATTAGAATGCTGCTTTCTGTGCCTTTCTGAATACAGACACCAACCCATCCCTGCACAGCCTGGAACATAACATTTATTTCCATGATCTGCCATTTTCGCTATTATCCTCGCTTTTTTTTCTTCACAATACCTGCAGAACTTCTGATGATTTGGTTGTGCAGGTTCGGCTGGCGGCTGGCATAGAACATGGGCGGGTATATGCAAATGTAGGGGGTGTAAATATGAGTGATCCCGACTGTAACGTCACAGTCGGTGTTATGTTCTGATTCGCCTATTTTTCAGTGGTCTTTTGCATGCACGTGATTTACATAAGAAGGAGGAAACAATGGTGTTTGAGGCTCACGGTATGTAATTTCCATGTACAGAACTGTTAGTATTCAACTATGCCAAGGTAAATACAGTTTTCCATTCTATGGCACCTTTAAATTCAACACATAACTAATAACAATAAATCCAAAATGTAAAAATATACGATCTACTCCAACCTGATCTCACAGTAATTCGTACATATTGTGCGAGGTGGCAAATTCGAACGAATGACCACCCCTAACCACGCCCCTAAACCTACCCCTCACAGAAAACGTACAAAATTGCACGAGTGAGGTCGTACGAATTCATACATATTAGCCACCTTGTAAAACACATACGAATTAGTCGTGAGATAGCGTTGTCTATACTCCACTTTCCACTGTCCGGGACAATGTTCCCAGTTTTATGTCAGCTAATCCCACAGCCTGTGAACTGAAAAGAACTATTCACATCGAAACTCAGATAAAGAGAGTGTTTCTGGCAGAAAACAGACTCGTCATGAGTATAAAATGACTCTGAGTGAGAACAGCAACACCTGAGACGTCTGAAAGCATTCGTCTGATCAGTCCTCCCATTTTCAGTCCGTATACGATGGAACTGATAAAATGTGCGATAGCAGCTAAGGAAAGTTTCCACTAGTGCTGACGCCAAACGCATGCTCGGTAAATAAAATGAGTAAGCATTGCATCTCCACTCACTCATGACTAATCTAGTTGTGTCAAACACACACACCCTTGGTTTCCATGGCTGCTGTTGGCACTGCGCTTTCACTGGAGATCCTTGGCACTGAGTGACACAACGAGACGGACAAACTAAATTGCTGGAAACCCAAAACCAGCGCAGTGAGAGAGACCAGAGTGAAAGCAGTCACGCATGCCTGAGTGACCCCTGCCAGACAATGACTCTGTGTCAGGCGCCACCTAGAGCCAGCGGGAGAGTGGAAAACCTGCTGAAATCTTCTTCCACAAAAGAGTTTGACTTTATATTTTGTGTCAGGTAAGAGTTTTGTTTGTACCTGTGAGGTGTTCTGCAGTGGGCATCACTCGACACTTCTTGAAGAAAGCATCTGTGTCTTGATCTACGACCAAGAGTGAAGTGTTGTCACCCCCGGCTTTAATAGCGGCCACCACCTCAGCATGCTGCTTCCCCTCCACCGAAACCCCGTTGACCTGAGAACAAACAATGGCACATCTCAAGACACACAGAGACACTCTGAAACACATGCAGGACTGAATGACTCACACTTCAATGCATACAGTCAAACCAACATTTATTCAGACACCTTCAACATTTCTTACATTATCACAGTTTATTCGCTATAGTGTCGAATATGGTAATAAAATATGACTTCCACATCATTGCATTCTGTTTTTATTCACAATTTGTACAGTGTCCCAACTTTTTTTGGAATCGGGTTTGTAAATAAAGTGCATAAAACAGTACAATTATTTGTGCTACAAGTGTGTTTATGATATACATCTTAATATTATAAATATAACTCATAATATTATACCAAAAAGCAATTTGCAGTATAATTTGCAGCATAACGGACTGCTTTTGTACAGCTAAAACAACTGGAAGCGGATTACACATTCAAGTTACAAATGGCCACACCTGTTCTTATGTTAAGAATAGGGTGGATATTGTATTGTATTGTCTAAGTTATTATGTGCATATATAATGTCAGCATCAAATCAAAATTAATCCAGTTGCACAATTCATCAGCACACATTATTCCAAAGCAAAAAAATATCAGAATGATTGCTTAATATTTTAAATAATCCACTGAAACAATGTCACCAAGCCATTATATTTTCCATCCGCGCCCCAACAATCATCCAGCTCCACTCTAATAAGTAGCTACATTTGTTTTTGTTGAATGTCCTGATTCTCTCAAGATTATATCACATTTAAGAAAATTCAGTTGGGAATTAAGTTTCATGTTGGCTTTAAGGTGTGGCATCTCAAAAATGCTGCTTTTGTACAGCTAAAACAACTGGAAGCGGATTACACATTCAAGTTACAAATGGCCACACCTGTTCTTATGTTAAGAATAGGGTGGATATTGTATTGTATTGTCTAAGTTATTATGTGCATATATAATGTCAGCATCAAATCAAAATTAATCCAGTTGCACAATTCATCAGCACACATTATTCCAAAGCAAAAAAATATCAGAATGATTGCTTAATATTTTAAATAATCCACTGAAACAATGTCACCAAGCCATTATATTTTCCATCCGCGCCCCAACAATCATCCAGCTCCACTCTAATAAGTACCTACATTTGTTTTTGTTGAATGTCCTGATTCTCTCAAGATTATATCACATTTAAGAAAAATCAGATGGGAATTAAGTTTCATGTTGGCTTTAAGGTGTGGCATCTCAAAAATTAATACAGTTAAGCTGCACGTTTGTGTCTACTTCATAACACAGGAAATGGAAATTACATTGTGGGATATTGTGTACAATATGCTATTTTGTATACTACACACTGTAGGGTATCCACATATTCCATGCATTCAAGCCATCAAATACTATACTCAGTATACAGCATAGAACATGGGGGTGGGCAATATACCGGTAGACATGATTAACCGGTAACGATTTTCACCTATCGTCTCTATCGCAATTACACGCTCACGTGACGTTGCTGTTGCTGTCACGAAACGTATTGTTTGCACGCGTTTTTAAGCATTGCAGTTTAAAAATCAGCAGCGAAAGAGAACTCATTTTTCTATATGCATGCTGTCTGAGAGACTGTTTTTGAGTGCTGTCAGAGAGGAGCGCACATGTGAAGATGGTGCTCATAGAGCGCAGGAGTATTGAACAGAGCCATTTTGCCGACTTTATTGACCTTGAACAGTTAAATGCACACCCTTTTATGTGTCAAAATGGCCGTCTTCGCAAGTATCCTCGTAAACATAGTAAGTGAAAGCAAAAAAAGCTGAGAAAGTTAACACGTGTAACAGTATATTGGATCCGGGCAGCTCTTAAAGTGACAGCAGTCTAATATTTCTGCTGTCTGTCATTCATGTTAATCAAACAGCAAAGAGAGAAAATCTCTCACTGCTTTTGACTAAATCACTTTTTGTAACATTAATAAGACAGATATATTTAATCTACACAGAGAAGAATATGCAGTGTTTTTATACATTTGATTACTTTATACAATGGATGTAGCATTTCTTATGTATTTGTTCTACTGTAGTTTTTTGTCCTATTGCTTGTAATTAGTTTCTTATACTTATTTAATCTAGACTGTTTACTTGCCTTCAGTGAGCTTGAGTTTTGTTTTTTTGTTTTTTTATTTAGACTAGTATTAGTTCCCTTTCAAGGGAACTTCAAACTGAGTCCCCACTATGGGGAACGCCTCGTTGTGACCCGTGTCTGAAGCATACTTTCAAAAAACACCAACAACATGTTGGCCGGCGACAGCCCATGACATCACTGCCGGTGCGACTATAGTATAGTATGTAGCTTAGGCCTTTGGCCGTAGAGGATAATGTCACGGACAACCATCTAATGTCCTAGGGGCAACTCCCATGGCTATGGTAGAGTTGGTACTTAGTGCTCGCCATAGGTTTCTGGCATGCACTCCCCTCAGCATGGTGGCGTGAGTATACTGTTCCCTATAGCGACCCCTAGAGGACGCAGTTCGAAGTTCCCTTGAAAGGGAACGTCTCAGGTTACTTATGTAACCATGGTTCCCTGAGTAGGAAACGAGAGACTGCGTCCTCTAGGTTTCTTGCCATGCTTCGGACGCAAGCTTCAGTTGCATTCTGTTTTTATTCACAATTTGTACAGTGTCCCAACTTTTTTTGGAATCGGGTTTGTAAATAAAGTGCATAAAACAGTACAATTATTTGTGCTACAAGTGTGTTTATGATATACATCTTAATATTATAAATATAACTCATAATATTATACCAAAAAGCAATTTGCAGTATAATTTGCAGCATAACGGACTGCTTTTGTACAGCTAAAACAACTGGAAGCGGATTACACATTCAAGTTACAAATGGCCACACCTGTTCTTATGTTAAGAATAGGGTGGATATTGTATTGTATTGTCTAAGTTATTATGTGCATATATAATGTCAGCATCAAATCAAAATTAATCCAGTTGCACAATTCATCAGCACACATTATTCCAAAGCAAAAAAATATCAGAATGATTGCTTAATATTTTAAATAATCCACTGAAACAATGTCACCAAGCCATTATATTTTCCATCCGCGCCCCAACAATCATCCAGCTCCACTCTAATAAGTACCTACATTTGTTTTTGTTGAATGTCCTGATTCTCTCAAGATTATATCACATTTAAGAAAATTCAGTTGGGAATTAAGTTTCATGTTGGCTTTAAGGTGTGGCATCTCAAAAATTAATACAGTTAAGCTGCACGTTTGTGTCTACTTCATAACACAGGAAATGGAAATTACATTGTGGGATATTGTGTACAATATGCTATTTTGTATACTACACACTGTAGGGTATCCACATATTCCATGCATTCAAGCCATCAAATACTATACTCAGTATACAGCATAGAACATGGGGGTGGGCAATATACCGGTAGACATGATTAACCGGTAACGATTTTCACCTATCGTCTCTATCGCAATTACACGCTCACGTGACGTTGCTGTTGCTGTCACGAAACGTATTGTTTGCACGCGTTTTTAAGCATTGCAGTTTAAAAATCAAGAGAACTAGAGAACTCATTTTTCTATATGCATGCTGTCTGAGAGACTGTTTTTGAGTGCTGTCAGAGAGGAGCGCACATGGTGCTCAGGTGCTCATAGAGCGCAGGAGTATTGAACAGAGCCATTTTGCCGACTTTATTGACCTTGAACAGTTAAATGCACACCCTTTTATGTGTCAAAATGGCCGTCTTCGCAAGTATCCTCGTAAACATAGTAAGTGAAAGCAAAAAAAGCTGAGAAAGTTAACACGTGTAACAGTATATTGGATCCGGGCAGCTCTTAAAGTGACAGCAGTCTAATATTTCTGCTGTCTGTCATTCATGTTAATCAAACAGCAAAGAGAGAAAATCTCTCACTGCTTTTGACTAAATCACTTTTTGTAACATTAATAAGACAGATATATTTAATCTACACAGAGAAGAATATGCAGTGTTTTTATACATTTGATTACTTTATACAATGGATGTAGCATTTCTTATGTATTTGTTCTACTGTAGTTTTTTGTCCTATTGCTTGTAATTAGTTTCTTATACTTATTTAATCTAGACTGTTTACTTGCCTTCAGTGAGCTTGAGTTTTGTTTTTTTGTTTTTTTATTTAGACTAGTATTAGTTCCCTTTCAAGGGAACTTCAAACTGAGTCCCCACTATGGGGAACGCCTCGTTGTGACCCGTGTCTGAAGCATACTTTCAAAAAACACCAACAACATGTTGGCCGGCGACAGCCCATGACATCACTGCCGGTGCGACTATAGTATAGTATGTAGCTTAGGCCTTTGGCCGTAGAGGATAATGTCACGGACAACCATCTAATGTCCTAGGGGCAACTCCCATGGCTATGGTAGAGTTGGTACTTAGTGCTCGCCATAGGTTTCTGGCATGCACTCCCCTCAGCATGGTGGCGTGAGTATACTGTTCCCTATAGCGACCCCTAGAGGACGCAGTTCGAAGTTCCCTTGAAAGGGAACGTCTCAGGTTACTTATGTAACCATGGTTCCCTGAGTAGGGAACGAGAGACTGCGTCCTCTAGGTTTCTTGCCATGCTTCGGACGCAAGCTTCAGACGAAGAAGTGAATGACGTGTTCTCCCGGCGCCTATTTATACAATAGTAGCACCGGTAGTGACATCATGGGCTGTCCCCGGCCAACATGTTGTTGGTGTTTTTTGAATGTATGCTTCAGACACGGGTCACGACGAGGCGTTCCCCATAGCGACCCCTAGAGGACGCAGTGTCTCGTTCCCTACTCAGGGAACCATAGTTACATAAGTAACCTGAGACGTTTTTTTGTGATATTGACACTGGTGACAAGAATTTTGAAATTTCAATGATATCAAAAATTTTTATATCATAAAGACCTTATTTTTAGCAAAAATAACTATATTGTGATATATATCATTACCTTGAAATACAATTACTCACATTTTGTTATAAGATTTTGGTCATATCGCCCACCCCTAATACAACATACTGCATAAATAGCAGGAGTAGTATTGTAGTATGAGTAGTATGCAACTCTGAAAATAGTCTGCAATTGAGATTTCATTATTTTAATCAAACTGTAATTTTTTGCCATTACCGTGACATCTGTTTTTAGATGCATTATTTACATCTTCATTGTTCCAACAAAGAAATTGTTTATCAAAGCAAGGATTCATTTTTCAATATTATCAGTCTCCTTTCCTGCTGTCCGAGAAAAGGATATCCTGTGTCTTTGAACATTGAAGTATTACACATTCACAAAAAAAAACACAACAGACTTTTCTGTGAACTGAACAGAGAGGAATGTTAAGGGCAAATCTGACAAAAATTGTGACTTAAAATATTTATTATTTAAAATTTAACAACATGAAATATTCATAAACACTGATTTATTAAACATAAATAAATGAATAAGTGAATGACGTGTTCTCCCAGCGCCTATTTATACAATAGTAGCACCGGTAGTGACATCATGGGCTGTCCCCGGCCAACATGTTGTTGGTGTTTTTTGAATGTATGCTTCAGACACGGGTCACGACGAGGCGTTCCCCATAGCGACCCCTAGAGGACGCAGTGTCTCGTTCCCTACTCAGGGAACCATAGTTACATAAGTAACCTGAGACGTTTTTTTGTGATATTGACACTGGTGACAAGAATTTTGAAATTTCAATGATATCAAAAAATTTTATATCAAAAAGACCTTATTTTTAGCAAAACTAACTATATTGTGATATATATCATTACCTTGAAATACAATTACTCACATTTTGTTATAAGATTTTGGTCATATCGCCCACCCCTAATACAACATACTGCATAAATAGCAGGAGTAGTATTGTAGTATGAGTAGTATGCAACTCTGAAAATAGTCTGCAATTGAGATTTCATTATTTTAATCAAACTGTAATTTTTTGCCATTACCGTGACATCTGTTTTTAGATGCATTATTTACATCTTCATTGTTCCAACAAAGAAATTGTTTATCAAAGCAAGGATTCATTTTTCAATATTATCAGTCTCCTTTCCTGCTGTCCGAGAAAAGGATATCCTGTGTCTTTGAACATTGAAGTATTACACATTCACAAAAAAAAAACACAACAGACTTTTCTGTGAACTGAACAGAGAGGAATGTTAAGGGCAAATCTGACAAAAATTATGACTTAAAATATTTATTATTTAAAATTTAACAACATGAAATATTCATAAACACTGATTTATTAAACATAAATAAATGAATAAGAGCGAGAAGTCAATGTACTTTTCACTTCAGGTGGCATTTAAAGGAAAAGTTCCCCCAGAAATGGAAATGCCATCATTCACTCTTCAGTTTTTCTGACCTCATGTTTTATTTCCTCTTTCAAACACAAGGAATGCAGTGATTCATGCTGTCAAACTTCAAGAAGGACAGACCAGACTCATTTTTTAGTACGATTATGGATCATTTTGCTCCTTTTTAAAGTTTGACAGCATCTCATTTTGTGTTTCACGCAACAGCGAAAATAATATGGCTTGTGAATGATATTAGAGTGTGTGATAAACATGCTACCTTTTCATGACTAAACTACACTTTAAGCAGAAGAAAGGACAGCGCTGGCATTTTCAGATAGCTTTATGTGCTCTGGGAACAGTCTATATGTGGAATGAGGGTGTGTCTGTTAGTGGAGCTCAGGCCCGGAGAGGAAACGGACAATGTGCGCTCAGCAGGAACAATAGCAGCCTGTCCAACACAAAGAGCCCAGCTCACAGTAGGAGGCCTGGAGGCCCCTCTGGGACAACAAAGACCCCCTCCATCACTCTCCTCCCTCTGCTTCCTTCCCTCCCTTCACTTGTTCACTGGTGGCCCTTCTGTGGCTCTCGCTCCGGATGAAGTGGCCAAACTCAAGAATTACAACTCGCACAAGAACAGGACAGAGAAAACCTTACAGAAATATACACTTACTCGTGGTTTCTTTTCGGTATTATTTACTCTGTCTACAAAAGTTTTACGCATTTGAATTGATTCAGGAACAAAACACCATTGTGTGCTGCCCGGAGACAAACAGCAGTTCTGCTGTGAATTTGTTTGGAACTATTATCGTTTGCAAAAATAGAGAAATATTGACAATGCTGTGTCTAAAATATAAGTGACTCAGCATTAATTGTGTGTTGACACAAAACAGTTTTACAACATAGTTGTGTTGGTCAGGCAGTTGCATAACAAAAATATCATGTATACTGCTTGACCATATCATATTTAGGGACATTTTTATTACCGTAACTTAAGGTAAGACACTGCATACAAAACCACAGCTTTTTCATGTCCATGCACTAGTCAGTTTTTTAGATTTTGGGCTATTTTGCTTTAATAACTTAGTCTTCTTTCAGACTAGTGGAACGATAACATCTAAAAATAGACATTTTTAATACACATTATCTATTTGCGTCTGTAGATTTCAATACTGACGCATATCTTTAAAAGCCATTTTCTCAAAATGTGTTTTTTTTTCCTTCTCCTGCACAGAGACGGAAATCGCCACTTAAATACACCACAAAAACAAACAAACAAACTAAAACAATTCTATATTCTGAAGGTTTTTACAGAGGGGCTTGTTCAAATATTATTTGTGTAATTTATATAATATTATATTCCTAAAGAGTTTTGTTTTTTTGACAGTATTTTATGATTTATAGAGTAATAAAAATAGACATCCAAAATGAAACAAGAATTTTAAACCTTCCTTTATCCAATGTTTAGATTTCTGTTCTGGAAAATGATGCATGAAATAGTGCATTTAATTAGATAATGCATCATTTCCATATTTAAACATACTGTAACATCTCAGAAATGTTGTAATACAAAACAGTTGTCTTAATGTACTGTGATTAATCAACTGGGGAAGGAATATATTATATATACATATATTAGTTACATTTTTTGGTAACAAAACAATTCTATATTCTGAAGGTTTTTACAGAGGGGCTTGTTCAAATATTATTTGTGTAATTTATATAATATTATATTCCTAAAGAGTTTTGTTTTTTTGACAGTATTTTATGATTTATAGAGTAATAAAAATAGACATCCAAAATGAAACAAGAATTTTAAACCTTCCTTTATCCAATGTTTAGATTTCTGTTCTGGAAAATGATGCATGAAATAGTGCATTTAATTAGATAATGCATCGTTTCCATATTTAAACATACTGTAACATCTCAGTTGTTTTAATGTACTGTGATTAATCAACTGGGGAAGGAATATATTATATATACATATATTAGTTACATTTTTTGGTAACACTTTAGTATAGGGACCAATTATCACTATTAACTTGTTGCTTATTAGCATGCTTATTATTAAAATATTGTCTGTTTATTAGTACATATAAAGCACATATTCTACATGACCTTATTCTACATCCCTAATCCTACCCAATACCTAAACTTAACAACTACATTACTAACTATTAATATGCAGCAAATTAGGAGTTTACAGAGGCAAAAGTCATAGTTAATGATATGTTAATGGCGAGATTTGGACCTTAAAATAAAGTGTGACCCATTTTTTTTTATCCCATTCACCTGTGGTGTTATTTTGGTGGTCTGACAGTGGTTTGTAAAGCTGAATTCTATACAAAGTTCAAATGGGTCACGTCATGTTGCACTTGGTCATCACTGCCCTGTTCATTACACTGTGACTAAGTGTTTTTCATGGCAGCGCTTAATCAGAAAGAGTTGGGCAAACCTAAAGTTGTATCAGTGCAGAAAACCAGTCACATTTTTTCTATTTAGTCACAGTCTGGAGTCCTGAAAACATAAATCTAGCCGAGTGTGTCTCCAGACTTATAACTGATATGATGTACTGAACACAATACACAAAATCTGAAATGTAGCAGTAGTATGATTATTGAGTGATGCTCTGCTTCTGTTTGCTCATGTCTTCCTGTATAAAGGATCTCCTCTCTCAAATATCATGAGGTTCTCGCCCTTGTCTCTCCCATGAGTCTCTGCTTCTCTGTTCCGAAACAGGATACGCTGACAAAAATGCTACAATGTACAAATTTCCCTTCCAGGAACAGTGTTTCCAAGTCATAATAATGCTATACTTGGAAAAGTATAAATCTTTCATGTTTTATTGTAACACCAAAGAGTTTTCTCACCAAATGTTATGTAACCGCTCCAAAAATAATTGATTTTGGCCAAAGTCTAAAGAAAGCACCATGTGTATCCTAATAATGAAATTCCAAAGTGCATGGCAACGATCTTACCTGTATTATCCTGTCTTTGGGCCTCAGGCCGGATCTCTGTGCTGGCGAGTCGTCATCTATAGCTCTGATGAACTGGCCGGATCTGGACTTCTCACTGTGCAAGTTAAAGCCGAAGCCATTGGGGCCTTTCTCAATGACACATAGCCGGGGTCTGAGCTGGGTCTTCAAGTCCTGCAGGACAGACACAACACAACATCAGCACAATGAAACACAAACGTATGCCACTGGAATGCAGGACGTTTGGCGTCTGAATGTCTGTGCCCTTCATCTTAAAGGATATCATCTTATATAGTATCTTAAGGAGCAGAATCGGAGAAGGCCTTGTTAAAACCTGAGGCAGGTTACATAAACTGCTTAGTATAGTCTTACAGGTCATCCGTTTTTTTTTTTTTACTTTTTAAAGTCAGTTACATAAAACGGTAGACCGGTCTAATTTGAATACGAAAAGTAAGACTCTTATCCCATGACTAACTGCTAACTGGTCAGACTAGTTCTTAAGACACAGTGTTAACATATTGTCTGTGTTATGCAATTGTCCTTGACCAAATCCAAATGACGACAATTATATTGCATAAGACATAAAAAAGAGCACTTAATGCCTAATTTTCATGTAACTGTCATTCAGCTGAGAACCTTTCCTTTGTTTAAAAAGAACACTTTAGCATACTTAAAAAAGGGTACTTATTTGGAAATAATATACTTTAAAGAATTTACTTAAATGTGAACTTAATGTAATGTTTTCAGACACTTAATTGCATGTTATATACAAATAAAAATAAGGTTTCACTTTATTTTAAGGTATCCTTGCTACAGTGTAATTATACATTTAAGTACTGAGTAACATCAATTAACTACATGTACTTACTATATGGTTAGGATTAGGATGAGGGTTTGGCTTAGGGTTACTTGCATGTAATTATGCATCATTTATTGTTATTATAATAGTAAGTACATGTAACAAGAACACAATAAAATAAAAATGTATTATTGTATAAATTTATATTAAATAAAATAATTTTTTTGAGCAACCCTAAGTAGGACTTATGTACAGCTTCATGTAATTTCAGTTGCACTTTTTTTTAAGGTCCAATTCTCGCCATTAACAAACCGTCAACTATGACTTTTGCCTCAATAAACTCCTAATTTGCTGCTTATTAATAGTTAGTGACTCATTTGAACTTTGTATAGAATTCTGCTTTACAAACCACTGTCAGACCACCAAAATAACATCACAGGTGAATGGATTTTTTTAAAAAAAGGGTCCCATTTTATTTTAAGGTCCAATTCTGACTTTTGCCTCAGTAAACTCCTAATATGCTGTTTATTAATAGTTAGTAAGGTAGTTGTTAAATTTAGGTGTTGGGTAGGATTAGGGATGTAGAATATGGTCATGCAGAATAAGTACTAATAAACAGACAATATGTTAGTAATAGGCATGCTAATAAGCAACTAGTTAATAGTGAGAATTAGTCCCTACAAAGTGTTACCATAATTTCATAATTACTTCTGTCGTCTTATGGTTATCATATGATTAAACGTACTGACGAATGTACAAACAAGCATTTATGGTAAACTAAAATATAATTTCTATTATATATAAATTTGTATATCACATATATTTGTAATTAAAATATTGATGCAATTCAGTGCATTTAAAATATATCAACTGAAAGTGTAATATCGAATAACTACATTTAAAATTATAATCAGGTACTTTACATGAGCTTTAATGTTAGTCAACACATCAAAATAAGTGTATGTGTCTTTATTACATTACAAAAGATCATTAAAACATAGGAATTTGAAAGGTACTTTAAAGTTCTTAAAAGGGTACGCAAGTGTCAAAAAGTCATGAAAGTGTTTTCCTTTTAAGAACACTTAAGTGGCTTTTTATCCATTATTTTACAAGATCTACAAGTACAGTTTATTTAATTATTTTTAATCAAATTTCTATTGCCATTTTCTTGTCTTTTAAACATACAGAACAACAACAGGCAAACAGACAAACAATCAGCCATGCAACAGTAAGTGGAAGATGAAATAAATGAATAAATAAATACTTTTTAAAGGGGTCATATGATGTTGCTAAAAAGAACATTATTCGGTGTATTTGGTGTAATGAAATGTGTTTATGCGCTTTAAGGTTAAAAAAACACATAATTGTCCACATACTGTAATAAAATGCGCTGCACGCATCTGAATATTTGGGTTGAACTGTTCTGGAACAGTGTTGTAAATACAACGTAACTACTGATTTCTAGTCGTGTCCTCTTTTGGAAGACCAAACGAAGTAGTTTTGCTTTCACAACGAAACAGTGTCTTCACAACATTGCGGCGGAGGCAGCAGCAACAATAAAGTTACGCCGTCTTTCTTTGCGTGAACATTTGGCCAGCATTATGCAAATCTTCCCACATCGTGACGTAGACATGTCCCCACACACGTGTTTAAACGAGCCGTTTTAGGAGGGCGTGGACCAGTCTTAACTTTTATAAAGAATATCTCTTTGGGTTTAAGACTTTAGTCTTTGCAACTTTAAGGATCTTATCTATTCACGAACAGCTTGTAACACTCCAAAGAGAAAGGAAAACTTGAAATCGCATCATATGACCCCTTTAAATAAACATATACATCTGAAATAAATAAATAAATAAGGTAGACTTGTCAGTTACGACTGGGAATGAACCTAAGTGCACATTCAACACAACTAAGTGCACTTCATTTTTATCAGGGTTTCATAAGGAAAGGGCTCCAGTCCTGTCTGCTGGGGTGTGCTGCTGGACAGAGAAATAGACTCAGACAGAAGGATGTTTTCCCTTTGTCCCGAATGTGATGGAAGTGGACAGCGCACAGGATGAGGTCACCTGATTATGAGCCGCCCCTCACTGTTCTCACACGGCACACGTACAGTGCATTGTCATCCAGGAAAATAACACCCTTCCGCTCCGTTCAGCAAGTTGGGTCTTTTTATAGTTTTTCGGACAGTGATTCAAACTACTATTTGTGTTTAATGTGCCATTGATTATATTTAGCCAAGAGAACCTTACAATGGAAAAAAAAAACAGATTTCAACATAGGCAGGTTTGCAATCACACACTTAATCATAAGGGGAAACAATTTCACTTTCCTAGTTGGTACAATAAACCTAAGTCAGGGTAGGCGTCATATTTAGTTTAACAAACAAAAACGAGGCTGTGAGGGACTGTCCATGCAACATCATACTTTTCCATTTGTTCATATGACAAACAGCAAATATAAGCAATGGTAAGAGTGAAAACAGGATGAAAAATTACAATTAAGCACATAAAACACCACCGCAGAGTCGTCCTCCCATCCCAGCATTCTCACTCTTACAGACAGCGCTGCAGCAGCATTTCCTCTCTGTTGGGCTCAAGCGCAGGAAGAGCTGGACTTCCTGTGGACCACACCTGCTTTCCACTGTCAGAAACAATGCGGAACACCACCCGCCTTCATCCACCCTAAACCACAGCACAACTCACACGCTCCACCACAGGGCCGTCAGCCTGGCGCTCTGCCCTGGGCGGCACTTTGAGGATGGGTGGACATTGTGTAGACGAATCAGTCTGTGAGGGGTGTAACCTGCCCTGATGCATAGTTCTGCTGCTTTTTAGACACATTTTAACCTCCACTCTGAAATCTATAAATAAATCACAACACAACATGATCTGACAATTCTGCCCACTTGAATAAATCAACCAGACTTTACATACCCCCAGGTTCACAAATAAGGCTTAGGCCTAATCCCAGACTAAAATGTAAGTCTGAGCTGTTTCAACTGAAAGAAACTTGCACTAATTGATCTTAAAATATGTCAGTGCTTGTCTCAAGATGCACACCAGTATTGTTTTTTTCTAAAGCATGTTTATAAAAACGACTTAAATGTCCTAATTGAACTATTGTCTAATCCCAGTTTAACCTAAGCTCTGTCTGTGAAACCAGGCCATGAAGATGTACTTAAGTCCCACTTAAGTGGGTCAAAAAAAGCACTTGGGTTGAAGTAATTGCATTTACTATAAATATAAATTGTAATACATTTTTTGCAATTAAAATACAATTAAGTGCCCAAATCATTACAATTAGTTCCTACTTAAGTATATTCTTTTAAAGTATATGATTTTTGTAATAAGTAGTTTTTTTCTGGGTACCAAAAAGTGTACTAACATGCACACTTTAGGTAATAATATGTACTTGTAAGGTACTAATATTCACTCTTTAGGGATAAATGTGGTACAATGCTGTACCGTATTCAAAACTACAACCCCAGTGGCAGCTTTTGTAACTTTTTTCTCTGAGAGTGTAGAGAGGCAACGTTTGATAAGCATTTACTAAGGTGTTCTGAGAGGCAGTTGACAGTCGAGGAGTAACAATCATGTTTTTTAAGAAAATATATGGAATATTTTTATCATCAGCTATAGAAAAATATAGTACAAAAAGTAGAGTTTGTCAACATACTGTAACTATAGTGGAGGCTTATATTATTTAAAGTACCGTATAGTTTAACATATTCGCTCTGATGTATCACAACCCTACTTTTCTTTCAGGCCGACCCCAAAATTGTCAATGTGACCCTCAGAGAAGACATTCTTTCCTGGCGGCCCTCATACATACCTGCCCTCACAGACTGTTTAGACTAGTGTATTTGCCACACAGGTAATCACTACAGGTGCAGAACACATCCACACACTGAGAGCACAATGCCAGAAGGGCATTGTGGGTAATTTGGTTATGCAGATGACATGAGAATGAAAAGGGGGTTTAGGCGGTAAACAGGACTGTCACCATGGGGAGACCAGCTGTTGTGGAGTCTGGCCTTTTTCCTCCTTGAGTAATGTGCAAATCATTATCTATAAATTTATATTAAACGCAATTAGCTGAACTTTAGAGTCCTTCTTAAGTTTCACCCATTTAAGCACAGCATCTTTATATGTAATGTCATTATAGTATAATATACTTTAATGTAATTTATGTTAATAATTGTCTTATGCTTATATATGTTATTACGCCGACATTTAGTACATTTAAGCTACATTTACTTTAAAAGTAATACCGAATACAACTACAATTAAAATTACAATCAAGTATTGTACTTAACTATGTAAGGCAACACATCAAAATGAGTGTACTTCAACAAAATGATATAAAAGCATGATTTAACAATGTACTTTGAGTGAAACTTTTGATTTAAGTGCACTTTCAAAAGTGTACTTAACTGAATTAAGAAACAGTCATGAAAGTGTCTTTTTAAGTGCACTTAAGTGGCCCTTTATTTAGCTAATTAATATTCTATTATCTATAATAGTTTAAAAATATATATATATACTTTTAAGATTTGAAAAACACTACAGCCTGGTTTCACAGACAGGGCTTAGACTAAGCCAGGATTAGGCCATAGTTCAATTATAGGACATTTAAGTAATTTCTATAATCGTGCCTTAGAAAAAAACATTACCGGTGTGCATCTTGAGACAAAACGAAGGCATTGATATATTTTAAGTCAGTGCAAGTTTCTTTCAGTTGAAACAGCTCAGACTTATATTTTAGTCTGGGACTAGGCTTAAGCCTCGTCTGTGAAACCGGGGGTATAAGTGTTAAAAGTATATAATTAAGCACACTTCACAAGGGTTTACATCCTTTACGTACATAATAATACCATGGTAAATGATTATCATAATCATAAATGATGTGTTTGCATGATGCATTAAACTACACAGAATAATACCGAGGAACTAAGAACTATAGAAGTAGGCTACCGTAGTACTTTTTTGATGTGTTATTTATTCTTATAGTTTATATACATTTTAATAAAGAGATTAAAATAAATAAATGGTATGGTAATATCATAGTAGGCTACTTATAAAAAAAACACTAAACCCTACTTAAACAAACAGTACTGAATGATTACTAGTTATATTTGACTTCTAAAACGGTACATTGGAATCAGAGCGTCAGTCGAAGCTCTGCCGGTCTCTCACCGTCTCCGAGCTCATGGAGGTCCTGAGTTTCTCCACCAAGATTTCCCCGTTCCTCTCCGGCACCGGCGGCGGCGTGTCGTCCCGCATCATCTCGTCGCTGATCTCGAGCTCATCATCACCGCACTCGGGCACCGGAATGCCCTCCGTGACAAACTCCTTCAAGCACTTCAGCTCGTGTTTCTGCAGCAGCTGGTCGGTGTCAGCGTCCACCACTACGAGCTGCAGGCTCCCGGCGCTGGCGCGTATCCTCGCCACGACCTGCGGATGGCTGTCGCTCTCCACGCGCTCTCCGTTCACGAACACCAGCCTGTCGCCTGCGCGCAGACCGGACAGCTCGGCGGGGGAGTCGGGCTCCACCAGGCGGATGAACTGGCCGCTCTTGCCCTTCTCTCCGTGCAGATGGAAGCCGTATCCGTTCTCGCCCTTCTCCAGGACGCAGAGACGCGGGCGCAGAGTCTGGCTGGGCATCACGCAAAGTCACCTGTTGATTTAATCTGACAAATAAATAGAAATGAAGGGTAAATGAGAGTCGGATGCTCACGGATGAAGCATGTTAACCCGCTCGGCCTCAGTAAATGAAGGGATTTGTTGTTGATATAAAGTGTGAACAGAAAGTTATAGTTTTCGACTGTTTGATCGGCAGCACATCAGCATCCAAATCCAGCCCATGGAGGAGTGACTCCTCTAGAACCTCCTCTCTCTCATAAAGAGAAAGCAGAGTGAACTGTAATCGCTGAGACTTTTTTTGGCACTTTCGACTTCTGTTATTTACAGTAATGTCATCAGCACACTCAGGGGTTATGTGACAGGGGCGCAACATTTGGTGCATTCAGCACACTTCACAAATGATACAAATCTCCCTCTGGAATGACCAGATTTGGAGGTTTGCTTTTTTATATATATAAATTGATTAGGTAAACGTGTTCAGAAAAGTTATCATAGTTTTAGTGACAATGACATAAATTATAAATCAAGTATGAAAAATATCCAGAGATTTCATGCAATTAGATTTTTAACTTAAACTAAACTTTACAACTTTTTTAAAAAAAATTACAAACTGGGACATTTTCTTTGATAACTGTGTAAGCTCAAATGAGTTAACAGAAACAATAACATCTTACATTATTTTCTGTCAGAATAATGTTGTACCAACAAAAACTGTTAAAATATACCCTAATAACAAGGTTTGGGTTTCACGTGAAATGAAGAAATGTCTAAGTGAAAAAAGGGCTGCTTTTGCTCAAGGTAATATGGTGCTCTTTAAAGACAAAAGACGTGAACTTAGAGCGATTATTAGAAAGTCCAGGCAGCAATATAGAGATAAAATGGAGAAACAGTTTGTCACTGGGGATGCTCGTGAAGCATGGAGCAGTCTAAATGATATGATGGGTAGAGAGACCCAGAAGCAATATTGCCTACCCACAAATATTGGTTCATTTGTGAATGAATTAAATCAGTTTTATAGTAGGTTTGACAAAACCACACATGCAGTTAGGGTTGACCAAGTGTGTAGCCATGTCTGGAATGCCATCACTTTTACAGAGGAGGAGATAGCTGGTTGTCTTGCTAGGGTATACCCTCATAAAGCACCTGGCCCGGATGGTCTTATGGGGAGGGCCATAGCAGGGTGTATTTACCAACTTAAAGGTGTTTTTACTAGACTATTTCAGATCTTGCTTGACACACACACTGTCCCACTTTCTTGGAAGAGAACCACAATTATCCCTGTGCCTAAAAACTGCAACCCTGTATCACCTAATGACTAGACCTATTGCCCTTACCAGCATTCTATGTAAATGCATGGAAAGGGTTGTGTTAGGGCGTCTGCCAAATACCCATTTGTCTGACCAACTGCAGTTTGCTTATAAGGCACAGAGAGGCACTGAGGATGCTACGTTAACTCTGCTGCATGTGATTAGCAAGCACATTCAGCATCCTGGCGCTTTTGCTAGAATTTTATTTATTTATTTTAGTTCAGCTTTTAATACTGTCAGGATTGACATTTTATTAGATCGGCTATTAAAACTGGATACCAATGGACACCTTGTGTTATGGATCAAGGACTTCTTGGCTGACCATCCTCAAAAAGTCTCTGTACAGGGTACCATGTCGGATGATGTTATTCTGAACACTGGAGTCCCCCAAGGCTGTGTGTTATCACCTGCATTGTTTTCTATGTATATAAATGAAATGCAGATTTGTGAAAGTAATTTTACTTTATTTAAGTATGCCGATGACATGGCTATGGTTGGTCTTATGGCCAGAGGAAAGGGGAATTTAGAGAGCTTACTTTGAGCATATAGACCGCCCGGTGGCATGGTGTGAGGAGAGTGCTCTGTCACTAAATGCTTTTAAAACCAAGGAACTTGTTGTCAGTACTAGGGAAGGGCAACCTACATGTCAGCCGATCATAATTGGGGGCCGACATGTTGAGATTGTAAATAGTTTTAAATATCTAGGGATTATCCTAGATTGTATCTTAAATTTTATTGAGCACACAGACTATATCTATAAGAAGGCAAGCCAAAGATTGTTTCTTTTGAGGAAACTAAATAGTTTTAATGTGAGTAAGGGAATCCTGAGGATGGTTTACACCAGTTTGCTGGAAAGTATTATTTCCTATAACATCACCTGCTGGTATGGGAATCTGGGGGCTAGAAGCAAAAGCAAGATCACAAAGATTATTAATATAGCCAGTAAGATCATATTGGACCCCCAGAGGCAGCTGGTGGAACTGTATACAAACCAGACCAGGAGGAAAGCCTCACAAATAGTTCAGGACTCCACTCACCCTCTCCAACATGAATTTGCAAAACTTCCTTCAGGCAGACGATACAGGGTACCCATAGCAATAATAAATATTTTCAAGAAATCCTTTATACCATCTGCCATTACTTTATTAAATAAATGATTTATAATCAGGTTTATGTATATTATGTAACTAATTGCTGTTATCTATTTATTAATATTATTTAGTTATTTATTTATTAATTATCTACTTATGGTTTTAGTACTATTAGCCTAATTTCTATATACTGCTTTTATGTCTCATGTGTCTGTAATCCTTGGGGCAAGACGTCCTTGTATTGTATGTTTTGTGTGTCTGTTGTATTGGACTGTGAAGTTAAGTGTATTTGTGGTAGTCCTATATGTTTTTGTGGGGCCGAAGATGAATTTCCACATGTGTGGACAATAAAGATTTCTAATCTAACAATTAAATTTGTTCCAAGGGGGCGTTTTGCTCCACGGTTGGGGTAACGTGCCCCCAAGTCTGCTACTTATATAAATCAAAGGGACTCATGAAAAGGTCTTAAAATGAAAATACGGTGAATACTAGCCTCAAATGTTTTTTTACAGTTATTTTATTAGGATTGTGTGGCTTTATTTTGAAAAAGGGGTCATATGATGCGATTTCAATTTTTCCTTTCTCTTTGGAGTGTTACAAGCTCTTGGTGCATAAAGAAGATCTGTAAAGTAGCAAAGACTAAAGTCTCAAATCCAAAGAGATATTCTTTATAAAAGTTAAGAGTCAGCCACGCCTATCTAAAACTGCTCGTTCTAACACGCCCCCACATGTCTACGTCACGATGTGGGAAGATTTGCATAACGCCGCCCAAATGTTCACGCAAAGAAAGAAGGCATAACTTTTATTCTCGCCGTATTGTTGCTGCCACCATGTCGAGATGCTGTGTGTTTTGTTGTGAAAATGAAACTACTTTGTTTGGCCTTCCAAAAGAGGACAATATCCACTTCGTCATGCCTAGAGCTGATCTGTGCTGGTCACTGAGGAAATACATCAACTTCGCACTGTGGATCGCCGGATTGGCTTTCAGCCCAGAGTCGCGGAGTCCATCCCGGGGTCGTCACATAGGTTGCTGCAAGCCCGCTGGCCACGCCGTTCCTCACTCTAGCCCGCCGTGTGTTTCATTGTGAAAGCAAAACTACTTTGTTTGGTCTTCCAAAAGAGGACATGACTAGAAATCAGTGGTTAAGATGTATTTACAACACTGTTCCAGAACAGTTCAACCCAAATATTCAGATGTGTGCAGCGCATTTTATGGAGGACTGTTTCCTGATCCTGGAAGAGTAGACTATAATGCCGGCTGTTCTGACTCACAGCCTGTAAGTACGTTTTCATTTAAAGGGTTTGCCACTGATGAATCAAACGTGAGTTTTGAGCAGTGTAGAGTAGCACTTGTTGTTTGTCATTTCTCCGATCACAAATGCAGACATGGTTTTATGTTTACGCGGCGCGATGCAACGCAACGCAACACGTAAAAAGACAGTATAAGTCCGTAATTATGTCCCCACTGGATGCGACAAATGCCTCTTTATAATGGGTTATAATGTTTTTGTCTCGTTGCTCCAGCCGGACACGGCATCACAGTATATGGTAAGGAGCGTAACATTTCCGTCACACGCTTGAGGTATTCGGCCAATCACAACACACAGGATAGCTGGCCAATCACAGCACACCTCGCTTTTCAGACCGATGAGCTTTGTAAAAATCGACGCGCAATTTGCTTTATACAATTACAGCAAAATCAGAGTACAGGCAGTTTTAGCTTGAAATGAAAAAACATAATCAATAATTATGAATTACAAAATTATAATAGCCTATTTGAAAAGTTTTGTTAGCTGATGCTAACTGGCTTGCTAACTGATGCTAACTTGAGGTAATTTTTTTATATATATAAAGTTCAAATATTTGTACTGAACCAACTAATACATTTGATGGAAAAACAAAGGATTTGACGTTCAGAATAAAGTAGCTACAACAAGTAAGCCGTGCCCCCTGGGGGCGTTTTACCCCACAGACTATGTTTGAAAAAAAATTGTCATTCTGAAAATATAAATTATATTTCTCTTAAATAACACACGCTCCCTATCTACAGGCCCTACTGTTCTCATATCATATATAACTGTGATGTTCTACAACAGTGGTTCTCAACCCTGTCCTGGAGTACCCCCAGCCCTGCACATTTTGTATGTCTCCCTCATCTATCACACCTGATTCAACTCATCAGCTCATTAGTGGAGACTGCAAGACCTGAAGTGGGTGTGTCAGATATAGGAAGACATACAAAACGTGCAGTGCTGGGGGTACTTCACCGAGAGGTTTGAGAACCCCTGTTCTACAAAACAACAGGCTTTAAAACACTTTTTTTCTTACTGCTGAAATATGGATAACTAACCCAACTTTTGGGTTAAAAATTTAATATAAAAATTTAACCCAACAGTTGGGTTAGTCCATATTTGACCCAATGTTGGGTTGAAACAACCCAGCATTTTTTAGAGCGTAGGGGTGCATTTTACCCCACTCTACCCTATCATGCATAAAAAACAGATTTGTTTAAATTATTATATAGACAACTAATTTATGCCATGTTAAATTATATAAATAAATGACAGCTGCAGTTATGGTTTCATTTCCTCCTGCCAAAACAAAAAGGGAGACATCAGTGTCAGTGAAGATCTTGTGGAAAACAAAGAAAAATCAAGGTAAGCAGAATATTTTCCTATCAAATATTTTCCAATGGAATTGAAAAAAATATAATATCACAATTTTAATCAATATTTTGTTGCATAACAAACATCAACACATAAGTTTACTCTTTTTTTCTTATTCATGTTCTTAGGCCTACTTGTGCCAGATTTTTGGCTTTCTTGCCCTGTGAAGGAGCAAATGTGGGCTACACATCAGCTGTATAGGAAACCGGGGCTAGACTAGATGTCCAGACGAATGTCTAGCCAAGATCAAATAGCATTAACATTTATTAATTTGGCAGATGATTTTATGCAAAACAACTTACACGGAATAGTACAACACAAGCATTTACTCATTCAAATAAAGTTTGTTCATCTTCTCGTGTCCCAAACCGAGACCAATAAGCTAACCTGATGTTCACAACTCACTTTATTATTCAAAAGTACAGGACACATATTTGAAATGTCAAAGGTAAGGCAATTAAATTGTTAACTTCGTTATTATTTATTAGTAATTCTCGGTGTATAATACCGCCCCCCTGTGGCTTTAAATATTAAACAAATGAACCGGTGGAAAAAACCCTCACATGTGGTTACAATGGACTTTCTCATGGCACTTGTATGAGACAAATCAAAATACTGTACGATACAATCCAGATTTACATTTCACATCAATCTCTAAGTCATACAGTGAGTGTGACAGGTATGAAAGTGTGACATGCTTGTACGCGAAGCAAGAAGAAACCCATATTACCTCATAATCAGGCCCGACTCGGTCAAGCTGTGTTATGATTGTTTTCAAGTCAATATATACTGATTGTAAACATAATACTTAACATAAGCTAATATTCTGACTCTGCAAGACACTCAAATATACAGTAAAGAACTTTAAAAAAAAAAACACTACAGACACAAGCTCACGGCCCGAGCACATTTGCGTGGCATATAATGTAATTCAATACTAATATATTTTATACTGTGTGTAGATAGAGGCTGTGACCATTAGAGAAGAAACCCGGAAACCACATTACACAAACCTGGAATAATCAGACACACCTGGGTACTGTACACACCTGGATTAATACAGCTTATGAAGCAGAAACGTATTACTCTGATGCACCTCAGCAGTATTTGGCTGTATATTCCTGACTATAAAGCGAACAGGGGTCTGGGGAATCAGACACATCAAAAAGCACGTTCCATTCACACGCGTATTTGTGTAGGAATAGCTGTCGTCTGGAGATGGTCACATGAGGCCGCCGCAGCAGTTGGACTTCTGCTTCTGTGACTCAATGTAATCATGGATCTTGAACTTGGGATCGTGGGGCTGCTGGATGTTTCTGTGCTTGAGTTCTCTGTGTGGAAATAAAAGAGAAAACATATTCACCAGTTTCAGTGTAATAACCAGAAAGAGAAGTTCAAGGCAAACTTTGAATGATGGTTTGACAAAGCCTTAAAAAACCTTGATGCTCTTAGGTTTGAATAAACTTGTGAAAACAAACTACGCTTCATTGTACTGTATAGAGTGTATTAAAAGATAGACACTTATGACTGTTTAATAGTGACGTGTAAAATTCACTAAATGTTTATAATATATTTTTAAAAAATCCTCAAACCTTGCTATGGCTTGGAAAGCGAGTTCCACATTGACACCGGTCTTGGCACTGGTCTCCATGAAAGGGACTCCATATTCCTTCAATAAAGAAAAAGCAGAGTATTGCAGTTAAATAAACTGCGATGTTTACTGATCATTTGTAATAGCAGGTGCATGGACATGTTCAATTAATTTACACTCATACCTTAGCCAGCTTCTCCCCTTCTTCGTGTGTGATCACCCTCTCAGCGGCCATGTCTGACTGTACGAACACAATTGCACATTAATATAAAACAGCAATGCATTTGTGTTTTTGGAAGACATTGTCTTAACTAAAGCAAAACTACCCTCAAATACAGTACATGTCCTGCTCTATTTAATTAACCAATAAGAGTGAGAATAGAGGTCCAGTGGATGAGACACTGTCTTTTATCAGCTGTTGTGATTTTATTAAACATTCGGAGTTAAGCCTGATATATGGCAGTCTAAAAAAATAAAAAAAAATTTTTTTTTTTTAAATGAAACAATTTATTAAACATTTAGACAAAAAAAAGTTTGCAAATGTGTTTCATGTTTTATATCATATTTGATACATTTTACAACTCATATAGTATGATATAGGAGAATATGGTGCTCATTCGGTGCAGCAAGAAAAATGCGATTCTGACAGCTTGTAATGTAAATCAATGAGATCTTTATAACGTGGAATGCTGGCCTAGTTTACTTTCACTGTAAATGCATTACTGTAAACACTAGGGGAAGAGCTGAAATATTCTGTGGTAACTGCATAATGACACAAATGCTGATAAAAGCTCATTCCAATAAAGCCTACTGCATCATATTTGATATGCAAATACCTAAGTGCTCTAAATTAACCATTTTTAAAGTATAAGTACAATGTAAAAACATCTACACAATAAGTGCACTAAAGATTAATTTAAGTGCAAGTACATAGTAGTTAAGGCCACTTAATATAAAGTGGGGCCGAGTTTTTTTTTCTCTTTGAGTTTGAGCACCATATTTTCACTGTATCATACCATATGACCAGTCAAACCCTGATGTAACAAATATGATTTTATTTTTCGTTACACTTTATTTTAGGATGTCCTTGTTACAGTGTAATTATACATTTAAGAACTAAGTTATATTGATCAACTACATGTACTTACTATACGGTTATGGTTAGGATTAGGGTTTGTCTTAGGGTTACTTACATGTAATTATGTATAATTAATTGTTATTATATTATTAATTACATGTAATGTGTAACAAGGAGGCTTTCTGGCTTCATTAGCCAGAGTGAAAAATTTAAAGGGGTCTGAATACTTTCCGTACCCACTGTGTGTATATATATATATATATATTCTATTTACACTATTTCAAAGTAGCAGGATTTTCTGCTATTTATACAACTTATCACAAATAGTGGCAATTAGCTACACCTCAGTATTGTAGTACATTATAAAACAGTATGCAATAACGTTTTGAGTGTAAACTATAATTTTAATTCAAATTATTAAATGGACGCCGGCTCATTGGGACAATAAAGCCCTCCCTAACCTACTCAATACTTTTCTCTTCGATTATTTCCTTCATTTTTATTGAAAATAAATGCCTTTCTGATGCGATATGAGATTTGAAAAGGGAGGAAAAAAGTTTGACAAAAGGCGGATTCGAACTTGGGTCGATTGCGTCAAAAAGACTATGACATGCACTTTACCATCTACACCACTGGAGGTGTTGTTTGATAATTGTCTTTTGTAATGTCTAGCCAATCACACATTGGTGGGCAGAGTTAGTGTAAATGGCCTCTGAGATATAGATATATATATTTAAATACACATATTTAAACACACACATACATATATACATATACAGTATCTCACAGAAGTGAGTACACCCCTCACATTTTTGTACATATTTTATTATATCTTTTCATGTGACAACACTGTAGAAATGACCCTTTGCTGCAATGTAAAGTAGTGAGTGTACAGCTTGTATAACTGTAAATTTGCTGTCCCCTCAAAATAACTCAACACACAGCCATTAATGTCTAAACCGCTGGCCACAAAAGGGAGTACACCCCTAACTGAAAATGTCCAAATTGGGCAACTTCTTTGGTCGACCATGGCGAGGCCTGTTCTAAGTGGAACCTGTCCTGTTAAACCGCTGTATGGTCTTGGCCACCGTGCTGCAGCACAGTTTCAGGGTCTTGGCAATCTTCTAATAGCCAGGCCATCTTTATGTAGAGCAACAATTCTTTTTTTCAGATCCTCAGTTCTTTGCCATGAGGTGCCATGTTGAACTTCCAATGACCAGTAGAGAGAGTGAGAGCGATAACACCAAATTTAACACACCTGCTCCCCATTCACACCTGAGACCTTGTAACACTAATGAATCACATGACACCAGGGAGAGAAAATGGTTAATTGGGCCCAATTTGGACATTTTCACTTAGGGGTGTACTCACTTTTGTGGCCAGCAGTTTAGTGCATATTATGTGTGTGTGTTTATATGTTGCCATTTGGATTTAAATAGGCAAATACATAAGATTTAAATGAATGAATCAGTATTGCATTGATTAATGTTTCTGGCATGTTGTGTGTTTGTCAGCAATTTTTTAACCCTAACTGATGCAGTGCGTAGATTTTTATTTCTCAAACTGCCATGTTGGAAGACCCATGCACATATTCCAGGATGACAATACCAAAATTAATCAGGCTCAAATTGTGAAAGACTGGCCACAACAGAGTCCTGAACCCAACCCCATTGAAAGACTTTGGGATGTGCTTGAGCCAACTTTACACTGCCTGTTTCAGTCTACTACTTCATTGACCGCCTTTAGCTTTTATAACATTGCACTTTCATTGTGGCATTGTTTCGACAACGTCATACAACATTAACATTTTTTTCCATCAAGAGTTGTTAATTTTTTGTCGAGATCTTGTATTGACAATGGGAGAGTCGAACCAACCTGTAAAGTGGAATATGTACATTTATTCAGCACTGGTTTAAAACATTTTATTTAACCCTCCTGCTGCCAAACTATGGCTTGATGAACTGAGATCTACTCTACACCTGGAACGAACTAGGGGGAGAACATTAGAGTGGAACGACCCAGGGGAGAACATTACAGTGATTTTACCAGTGTACTCCACTTTTGCAACTAGGAACACCAACTTTTCAAAGACCAATAAGCAGAGAACACAGTGGCTGATGCCAATTTTTATTTTATTAGATTTTTTACATAAGGTTTAATGATGGCAAAATTACACATTTAAAGCAATATTTAATCAAAATAAAAGAAAATCTAAAAAATGTAAAATTATTTTTGAACATTATCAAATGTTTTTTATTATGTTGTTATTGCCGCTATTTTATAAAAGCATTAAGTCACTTAAGGCTGAACATTTGTGATTTCACCTGCTTACGTCACTTTGTGGCACGCCCAAGAACACCTGAGACCTATGGTAAAAATCACGGTAATGCAAGGCCCTACATGACTTACCGTTTTAAAAAGACTTGTAATAAAATGAAGATGGCATATTTACCCTGAGCGTCTCTGTAGTACGCGTGAGTAACACTGCGGAACCTCTCCTGACCGGCCGTGTCCCACATCTGCAGGAGAGGAGCGTTAACAGGTGAAGCATAGATGTCATGAAGGGGTACACTTAGGACACTTGACTGGGGGAAAACATTTCCCAATTAACCTGAATTGACCCTACGTATCAACATGAACCACATCTGAAATGTGTAACTTTTCCAAATCCGTTATAGAAAGAGAGAAACCTGAAACCATTACGAATAATTTGTTTTGTGATTTCGTCCTGATGTAATAAACCTGACCTTTGAACAGGCAGGAGGCCAACCAAATTGAATTTTGTGAAGAAAATGTGAACGACGCTTGCCTGTGCAAAACACACCACCACATGCAGTCTGGCTGGTTGCTAGGGCATTCCTAGGTGGTTGCTAAGGAGTTATCAGTAATTTCCAAGTAAGAGTTCACTCCATAGTCTTTATGACATTCTGGTCTGTAGATACAGCTCGGCTCCCTCCAGTGTTGGGAAAAGTTGCTTTTAAAAGTAATGGATTACAATATTGCGTCACTCCATAAAAAAAAGTAACTAATTGTGTTAATTAGTTACTTTTTATGGAAAGTAATCCATTATGTTACTTGCGTGTTTCTTTTTGTCACCTGAGCTGGGCTTGCTCATTAATTTTTAATAACAAATGAGGAAAAAGTTATATTTTTGGCAACTGTAAAGGCCCTTTTACAACAAAACAAATAAATAAGCGTCAGGCTGAAGAAAGTGCCAATGCGCCCAATTTCCCTCAACATGAAGACAAGAGAGACATTAGTGAATAAATGGGTAAACAAAGTAACTTGTGTTACTTATCTGAAAAAGTAACTCATGTATTTTCTTGTAAATTTAAAAGTAATGTGTTACTTTACTAGTTACTTGAAAAAAGTAATCTGATTACGTAACTCGTGTAATTTGTAATGCATACTGGCTCCCTCCTTCACTCTAAAGCTATGGGATGTGTGTAATCCGTTTTATCATCTGATCATAACAGCAGCCGTCTGCTCAAGTTGCACGATTTGAGGCATTATTCATGACCATATGACAAATAGTACAGGACAGGAGTTCAATACAGTACTCAAATCAATATAATTAATAGTGATGCTTGTCTTGTTTGCTTACCTGGAGTTTGATTTTCATGTTATCCACAGTCACCACCTTATTCTACAAGCAACAGGAAGAAAAAGAAACCCATTAAAACACAAAAAAGTACTTGGGAAACCACATTACACTTTCTTTTTCACAAATGGAAGACAAAATAATGAACAGTAAACGGTTTGTTATTCAAGGAAATCACACACAACCAAATCGGAAAACAATTTAGCTACTACTAAAGTGAGATCTCTTAACTGTGCAATTTTGCTTTTGTGTGGCCTGGCTCTCCACATAGACTTAATTATATAGTGCAGATGAAATAACAGACCAGCTCCCTGCTTAATTTCCTGTTGACGTCAGCCGTTACTTCCTTTGTGAATTAAATGTTTTAAAAATGGCACCTTCTGCACTGAGAAGACCAGACTTATCAGATGTTTTCATGCACCAAATGGCAATGCAATCAGAGACATCAGTCACACAAATGGAAGTGAGAATTTCAGAGATGATTAATTCTCATCCGCAGACATTTACATACAGGCACCCATTTAGGCCGACTGTAGTTAATGCTGACGGATAAAAAAAACGTAGGTGTTTAAAGCTGAAGCGTGTCATTTTATCGCCACTTTCTCCTTTCTCAGCTTAACATGCAGAGAAAACACAAAGTAGTTTGATTTGTAGTTGCCAGCAGTTACACAGAAACGGCGCCCTTCACCTTTTCATTATGTCACATTATCAGCAACAGGAGAGTAAATGACGACAAAACTGCTTATGCGGTGGACTACAGAGTAATCGTAATCACAAAGACACACTTTGGCTGCTTACTCCTTCTAGGAAGTTCTGCATAAATTAAATCAGAGCAGAGCTCAAAGCAATTCGAGGAGAACATTAACCGGTTCAATAAGAACGCAGGTATACGTCTCCATTGTTCCTTCAAACACCATTGCATATCTGACTTGAATGAAAACACAAATCTTTTTCTTGACAGAAGTGTGTTCAGCAGAGCTCAGATGTCTCATTGTTTGTCCAAGGGCAAGCCAACAAAAGCTGCACAAGAAGATCAAATTAAATCCACCGAGAAAAACTGTAGTGCTGATTAGGATTGGGAATTGGTTCTTTTTCAGAACCGTTTCAGTTTTATAACACCAAATTTTAACAATACTCAAGTATTGATATTTTTGCATTTGCTTTCGAAAATAAATAAATAAATAAATCAAAAAGGTTTTTTTTCTTCTCCGGATGGAATAGCTAATGGACCCGTTTCACATTTCTGGGTTTCTCATAAGCAGAAGTCATCATAGTTAAGTTAATTTCTATAATGCTAAATGGAAACAACAACAAAAATAATTTTTGGCATTCCTATTTTTTCCAATAGTTACTATTCACTTCCACGTTTGGAACGACATGAAGGTGAGATGACAATCTTTTTTTTTGGGGTGAACTATGTCTTTAAATTAGTGTCAGTCATGAACCAATATTGATGGTATTTCCTCGAAAGTACTAAAAGAATCAATAATGGAAATGTTAAAAGACTGGGATCAAAGCCAAAATCGTTACATTCCTTACAATTTCCACTCCTGCAGTGGCGATGATATATGACTATAGGATATTCATCTATCACTTGCACTAGGAATCTGCTTGATCTCTCCAAGTCTCAACCTATTATTTGAGAAATGGAAACCCGACCTTGTTTCAGTTACGAGGCCCTTCTGACACCGGAAAGGATATCCATTTATGAAAAACATACATCTTTCAGCGCCTCTGCCTATCCAGCATAAATCAAGCATAGCCATCAATTTGTTGTAATGGCTTTCCATTTCTCTGGCATCAGACTTGCTCTGCTCTGGCTCCCACACATCCTCATGCTGAGCAAGTGCTACAAGGAAGAGCCCAAAATAGACACAGGCTATAGTGCTGCCGCTGTGCCATTCAAAAAAAAAAAAAACACCACCGAAACGCTTCACTGTTTCCCTGAGCCACAGCAGATAAGATGCTTCATTTCAGACTCATTTCAGACTAATTTCAGACGTTGTTGGCAGGCGATCAAAGAATGAGGGTTTAAAAGGTTTTTTGAACTTCCTAAAGACACCTTCTGTCTGAAAGCATGGCACTTTCTACTCAAATCTTGACCGTTTCAAGGTCTTTTATGCTAACCTTCACTTTCTTGCAAAAACACACACTGCGAATCCAAATTGACTGTGTTGGCTTGAGGGCAAAAATCTATTAGTGGAGCATGACAAACTTCATTTTCCTCCACTAAAATGCGCACCCTTAACGCCAACTGACAACGGCCTCTTAGTGTGTTGGCGTATCAACCGTGATGGCTCCAAAAAATGAAAACATGACTCTGACAAATTTTAAATTCTCAGTTTGAGAAAATAAACCCGATGATGACTCATCTTGCATTTAGGGACATATACCAATTTTTGTCCAATCAAATGCTCTCTACAATGACAATGTCAGTAGTAATTGTAACTATAGCAAATGATGAAATACAGGCCGGTGAGCTCTTTGATAGGTCGCACTCAAACTTTCTGTTTTAATAGGATATGCATCACTTCACTGGGTCTCTAAAGTATTGATGAAACTGAACAGATCTTTTCTTCCGTATTGCGACAAAGTGTAACAGATTATTGTAAAAGGAAACGTAATGTGAGACTTGGTAGGGTTCTATTCTGTTGACTGGATTTTGAGATGTGGCCTTTGCACTAAAAAAAAACGAATTCCAGCTTGCAGTCAATTATGGAGGGACGGAGTTTAAGTGGACTAAATTACTCAAGGTCCACTATGTCAGATTGCAAGGTCAATTTTTTTTTTTTAAATAAATATGCATGGATGAATCATTCACATTAAGACCACATTAACATGCATTTGGAAAATAGTACAGGTGAGTTTTCATCTCACGTCGACTTTAAATACACCCCAGGTGAGTTTTAACCAAATATTTTCTCTTTTTCTCCCCAACCAAGTGCTTGGCAGGTGCAGCTCAAGACCCAAAGTGTCACGTGGCGACGGGTTAATCATTTAGCCAGACTGAAACGTGAAAAAGCATAAAATTGGCCTGTTATATCCAAACACTCCCAAGATATCTTGAGTGGCACAGTAGCTTCACAGATTTGTCCGAGAGGCTGCTGGACTGCACCAGTACCACTTCAGAAGACCACAGAGATTTGCAGTTAAATGCCAATGGAGAGTGAATACACACACACACATACACAACCTCTCTATGATGGAGTGCCAGAACGGCTTATTGATTAGATGCTGGATGTAAGTGTTAAAGGGTCATAACATATTTTTCTAAGCATCATGTTTTTTGCCTCTGAGGTCCACTTATAATATTACATTTTGATGAATAATTTGCTCCCTCTTTCTGACTCTCAGAATTAAAGAAAAAATATTTTAAGGATGCTGGTGACGAACCCATTTTTGTGCCTAGTGCTCTGAATGGAAAGAAGAAAAAAAAGCAACAACAACAAAAATGTTCCACAGAAGAAATAAAGTAATACATGCTTGGAACGACATCAGGGCAAGTAAACGATGAGAGAATTTTCAATTTTGGGTAAATTATCTCTAAGTCTGTGGAATAAACACCCTCTTCACATGAGCAATAGCACTTTGCTGTGAGCTGCGGGTTTGCTTTCGGGTCTAATATAGTTTGTGATGTCTCATCCTTCAACAACAGCCTCTTGGCAAAGCGGCATTATATTGTGACATTTGTGTGATTCATAAAACAATCTGCACTAAAATGTGCTACTTAAACTGTTAAGATGAGGCCGAAACAATCATGGACTTAAAAAATAAATAAATAAAAAGACAAGCTGCTCTTTCTCGACATCATAAGCATACTTCTATTGTTAGTTAAATAGAAAACGATGTAAAGGCTAGCTTGTTCACACCAAAGACGATAACTGTAATGATGTTTATAACCACTGTATAAACATTCTAATTCTATGAGAACCCAGCAAACGAATGTTCTCAGAACACTGGTTAACATGTAAACAGAATGTTCATTTGAATGTTGTTTAAAAGTTCTAAAATGCATTATTTATACATTGTTCATGGAACTTTTTTAAACATTTAATATGGATGCACTCCATGTCTTGTGCGTTTTTAGACATTATTACTTGTTTCAGAACATTTAGAGGACATTCATAACTAACGTTCCAATAATTTTAGCAAAATCAAACCGTATTGATCAAATTTCATAATAAAAACATGGAGAGCCAATTCAAATTCACCTGACATTAAAGAGCTTGAGCATTTAAAGCAGTAGGCAACAAAACTTTTAGCTCTGAAACTTACAACACATCAAACGCTTATTTCGGTTCAACAAAAAATAGATTCATCTTGATATGACCTCCATCAGTAGACATAAACAATGTATAAAGAGAAGTAAACCAGCTCCATCCACTGCTGGCTCACCCTAAAGTCAATCCCCACTGTGGCAATGAAGTTGCCTCCCAGAAAGGCACCATCTTTAAAGCGCACCAGGACGCAGGTCTTCCCCACTGCCGAGTCTCCCAGCAGCATCACCTAAAGGCATCAGGGTCAGAGACAGCTGTTAGGCCTACAACCACATCCTGGTTTTGTTTAATGAGCTCTAACTGTTCACCAACTTTATGTTTAAGTCAACACGGAATGACATTCACAACCCACTTTACTTCCATAAATCGACATTTTTGAGTGGAACAAGACAAAACTGTCAGTCGAAAATGACTTGAGCGTGGAAAGTGTGACAGGTGGTTAAGAGAAAGGGTTTGAAAACAAGAGTGAATCGAATGATTGAGAGTATTATACAGCAGCAAATTATGCACAATATACCAGGAACATGCACTTAAATGTAATTAGGGTTATTTTTGCTTCCATGTTGACTTTAACACCAAAACGCAGTTGTTTTTAAAGGGGTCATATGACGCGATTTAAATTTTTCCTTTCTCTTTGGAGTGTTACAAGCTCTTGGTGCATAAAGAAGATCTGTAAAGTTGCAAAGACTAAAGTCTCAAATCCAAAGAGATATTCTTTATAAAAGTTCAGAGTCAGCCACACCTACCTAAAAACGGCTCGTTCTAACACGCCCCCACATGTCTACATCACTATGTGGGAAGATTTGCATAACGCCGCCCAAATGTTCACACAAAGAAAGAAGGTGTAACTTTTATTCTCACTGTAGTATTGTTGCCACTTTCCGCCATGTCGTGAAGGTGCTGTGGGCGTCGTTGTGAAAGCGAAACTACTTTGTTTGGTCTTCCAAAAGAGGACGATATCCACTTCATCATGCCTAGAGCTGATCCGTGCTGGTCGCTGAGGGAATACATCAACTTAGTGCTGTGGATCGGCTTTCACTGTGTACAAAGCCCGGGGTCGTCACATGTGCTTGCCGCTCCTTCGTCGGATCCACCGGCTGCGCCGTTCTCAACCCCGCCGCCTCTGCTCACTCTAGCCCGGCCTCAGCGCACGCTAAGCCGGGGCTTCCCCTC